TTTTTTTTTTTTAAATTTTCATTCGAATACACTTTACATGTTATGTTTATGTATTTTAATTTTAGATAATAGGTTTTTTAAATCATTTATTTTAAAATTTAAGTTTATATTTTTATTAACATTATGTTTAATGTTTTTAAAATTTTTTTGGCATTTTTTTGGAATTTTATGACATTTTTTTTTGATTTTTTAGTTTTTTTTGGTAATTTTGCGTCTTTCTTAAAAAGGCGTGTGCCTTGCCTTGCGCCTTGCGCCTCAGGCACAAGTTGGCCCTTGCGCTTTTGTTGCGCCTTGTGCTTTTAAAACACTGGTTTTTTATTTGTGGGAAAGGAGGGAGGGTAGGTAAGTCCTTTTCCCGTGTTTTCTTACTTCAAAACAAACTAAGAAGCAGCACTAAAAAATTTAATAGGAATAGCACAAATCCTAGTCCACTAAGTACCAGGACTTTGACCTATAAGACAATTTCTAGTTGACTTAGGACTAGAAATAAGGCATATCCTACTTGTTTTATGAGTTATTGACTATGCTTTAACTTACTAATATAATTCTGATCTGTGAACATAACTCCAAATCCATTTAGGCAAACCACATCCTAATACAATTAGGAAAACCAACTCCTAATGTAACTAGGAAAATTACTAATAACTTAAGTATACCAAAAGGTTACAACAATACCTCTACTACCCATAAACACATAAAAAACTTGGAAAGTCACAGATTTGGCACATCAGGTCCTGCACCAAAAATGTTTTTTTTTTCCTGAAAAAGAACCATAATGTTTTTCACATGGACAGGAACTGCTAATCAGTTGCAAAGTTGGCCATTCCATTGGAGCACTTGTGTTGTCTCTGCTGGATACATATTTTATGTGTTTTTGTTCTTCTTTTCTCATTTACATTTCTACATTTAACATTTTGCATGCTTGTGCAGTTTGGTATGTTGATCGAGTTCCTTTTTGAGGAATTCCCAAACTGGGAGGGTATAGGGGAGCAAGCTATTGGAGATCTACAGGTAAGTTAATAAATCTGTCAAGTTAATTGTACCTCTTTAATACACTGATGCTTGGAGATTATTGTTATTAATAATAAAAAGTACCAATTGCCTGAAAAAGTTGTTCTTGAATTAAACGCTAATTGTTGATCCATTCTGCATTTGTTCTGTTGTGTAAAATGTCCAGAATTATTTCCTTTATCAAATATTAGAAATTAAGAAAGAAGTCAACTTCTTGCTGAGTAGGATAGCTTTGTGTTATTGTACCCGTAAATTTCAAGGTGCTGAGGTGAGGCTAGGTGATGGGGGGGGGTGCCTTGTTGCCTAGTGCATGCCTAGGGGATGGATATATATACTGAAGAATCGTAGGGTAATTCCCTAGGATCTGTAGCAACCAGCAACCATCTTTCACTAGTAATTATCTATAATCATCATAAAAAGTATGAACTTCATATTAAAACATAAAAATCAAACAAAATAGCTTGGCACTCAAGCAAGCTGGCCCTCCATGGGCGCCTTGTCACCTAGATGTCACTTATTCATTGCCTTGACAACTATGATTGTACCTGTAATGGTGATGAGTTTTTTTTTTGTCCTGATAGATACTATTGCTTTATTGAGAGAAATAGGGGAAATGAGAAATTTAAATTAGCTATACTGAGGATAAAAACTAAATGTGCAAACACAAAGAAGAGAAAAGAAATCTGAGCCCTGCTAACATGGGAGAAATGACAAAGTTCCAGCCTCAACGATTATAAGGTTAATCATTGAGGTGCTGATTTAGAAATTTAACTTACTCTGTAGATGTTCAATAAAAAAGGATGTAAAAACTGTTATTTCAAGTTAAAAGTAACAGAACCCTCACCTCAAACTTGAGCTTCATAYGGTGACTTTGTACTTGTTTTATGCTTTCTATCCCTTTCCTGCTGTCAAATTGTTTATGTACTTTCTAGTGGAGTGGCTGGGATCCACTTTGATGCTGACCTTTGACTGACGTTTTCTTAAAATGTAGTTATACTTCTAAAGTGTTTTTGATCAGGACAAACTGAATATTTCAGTACAGCAGTCTATGTTACTTTCACTTTTCAAAGATTTGTTTTTTTTACGCGACAGTGTTATTAATATTTTTGGTAGAACTTCTTTCAGCTTGTTAATCTTGGAAATGAGATTGGGTCTTTCTCCATAAGAGGCATTCTTTTGCTGTTGGTAGTTATTTCATTCTAATTAAATAGAGTCCTCTGAGTTTTTGTCAACTTGTTAATGCTGGGATTAGGAATGAGATTGGATCTTTCTCCTCAAGAATCATTCTTTTTCCCTGTTTGTTGTTATTTCATTCTAATTTGATGGAAAACTTCTCTGAATATTCTATAAGGGTATAAGATATCAAGATCATTCTTGTCTTTAAAAACATATCTTGGTAGTTGCTGTCGTTCTAATTGACTAGGCTATTCTAGGCATTTTACAAGGCATCCAAGACGAGATTTGATGCTGATCCTGCCTTTAAGGAGAGAGCACAGCAAGCGGTGGTTCGCTTACAGGTGAATAACTTATCCTTTACTAGACAAGGACTTCTTTGAGGTTGATCTTTCTTTCTTCTGATTATGATGAACATTTTTCTCTCATTTTCCTTTTCTGACTTGAGGCCTTTCAAACTTCATGAAGCAAAAGGGAGCAGTATCTTTGAACTTTATGTCTAATATTTCTTCATATTTTCCATGATTAAACTTGAACTGCAGGGTGGGGAAGCAAAGTATCACAGAGCATGGGCAAAGATCTGTGAAATAAGTCGCAGGGAATTTGATCAGGTGTATCAACGCCTTGGTGTGCATCTGGAGGAAAAGGTAATATTCCTATGCTTGTATTTACCCAATAGCTTTGGGGTATTTCTCAAGAAAATATTTAATGACTTGCTAATTGCTACGTTTATTCTATCTATATTTTTTATATGAGAATGCAAGAATTCAACACATTGAGAATTTGGTGTCATACTTTAATTATAAATTGGTAAAATAAAAAATAATATAATAATACATTAAGTGTGTATACAAGTTAAATCAATCAAAATTATATTTTTAATTATTAAATGCTTTAATTCGTTATTCAAATCATGCATTTACTTTATAGATTATATTTATAATTTTTTAATTTTTTGAGGCCTATGCCTCAGAATACTTGAGGCCTACACCTTGCCTCCTTGAGACCCAACAGCCTTTCCTCTGCCTATAGTCTTCTAAATTCTTGTTTGTATATGCTAATATGAAAACGTTGTGAGGTTCAGGTTGCCCAAGGCCTCAACCCTAATCCAACGCAAATTTAAGTCAGGTTCATGTTTTTCAACCCTAATCCTAACTTGTCCTTCAACCTGATCCAATCCAACCTTTTGGGTTGTGTTTGGGTTAACATGTCCCAAGTTGCATCTCTATCACTGTATAGCTTTAAAGGCCACGGAATTACAACTTATACCCAAAAAAGGCATATTGGAATTTAGATGAGCACAAGCCTTCCTGCCATCAGAAAGATTATTAACTGATCAACCAAAAAAAAAGAATAAAATTAATTTTCTAGGACTAAGTATCTTCTATTTGGGTGTGAATTAGCAATCTAGGGACTTTGCATCTTAGGTCCATGGAATTTTGACAATTTGGAGATAAAGCTACCAATGGGAGAAACTGAAGAAATCCAGGGTCTGACAAATGAAGAAAGAAATAAGAGATTTAGGGGTTGTTTAACAGAGCAACTTGAGTAATGGTGAGCTTGGATTGCTTGAAAGAAAAAAAGAGAAAAATGGTTGAATAAGATTAAAGTGGAAATACTTAATTCAACTGAACTAAGTCTTAATTTTACTGTTTACTAAGTTATAGAAGTCGTGCTCTCTACTTCATCCTACTAGGGCTCACTGCTCACATCACATGCTTGCTAAATCATAGATCCTGAAGATTGCTTTCAATACTTGCATCTAAATTCTTCTTAGCTTCCCATTAACCTTTTAGAACCTCCAACTTGCCAAATCCCTCTTAACTGGTTTGCTCAATATTTTTCAATGCACATGATGGAACCGTCATAGTCAAATTTCCTCACTTTGTCACCTTTGGACCCATCCGTAGGTTCCCAATCATGCATTCATTTCTAGTTTTATCCTTTTTCCATTTGTCCATTTGAACATGCTTAGTTACACATGGTCTGACAGTTGTATTTTTTCCTTTTAGTTTGATATACTCTCTTGATGAGTAATCAAACAATTTTGTTAAAAATGCAAGTAAAGTGTTGTACAGAGAAACCTTTATAATTTACCATGCTCCATACAGAAAACAGCTAGCTAGTTAAATATGAACCTCCTCTATCTAAAACTGCTAGTGACATAAAAAAAAACTGTTAGTGACTTCCAATGCCGAGGCCGCATTCATCAGGAAACTCATTACATCAGCACCAGGATGACAAAGGGTCTTTCCCTCCCATCAAAATCATATGACTCCTTAACACATTTGAATAAATGATAGAAGGGACTATGCTCCACAAATAACTCTTCTACCTTTTGATGGTAATGCTGGTCAGCCACATACAAGTTCTAGGCAAGGGGATCTCTCCTTTCCTCTTTACTTTAGTAGCTGATGTAGAATCATTTCTAAGGCCAATAGAGAAGATATCGTTAGGGATTGGAGAGTAGGGAGGAACTAGGTCCCGTCAGCAATCTTCAGTTTGCAGATGACCTAATTTTTTTTTGAAAGGGGTATTAGTGAGAAGGTAGCTAACTTGAAGGAGCTAATCAAAGGTTTTGAAAGAATCTCTAATCTGGAAATAAATTTGGAAAAGAGCTGCATAGCGGATATTAACTTGGAGAGTGGGGAGGTCAAGGCTATTGTGGAGTGTCTTGAGTGTTCCATCTCTTCTTGGCCTATGTCCTACTTAGGGCTTCCATTAGGGGCAAATCCTAGGGAGAGCAGGTTTTGGACTCCAGTGTTGGAATAGTCTGAGAAGAGATTAGCTCCATGGAAGAAGAATTACATCTCTTTGGGAGGTAGGATCACCTTAATACATTGACAAACTTGCCCACTTACTTTTTGTCTGTCTTTAGGATACCACCTAGGGAAGCTAGAAAGTTGGAGAAGCTAATGAGAAATTTCCTGTGGGAACTGGGACAAGGAAAAAAAGGATCATTTGATTAAGCTAATGAGCATTCATGCTGGAGCGAACCAGCTAAAATACCAACTAACCCACTCCTCGGTTCTTTATGTAATTTTGAACTAGTGAAAATTTTGCTTATCCTCTGAAATGTCTAATAAAGATTTCATTTATTGAACCAGTGAAAGTGTTAAAGTGTAGCATGAGTATAGTAAAAAACAGTAACACAAGTACAATTTCGAGTATGGTTTACCCTAATAACACTGTTATGTTCTTTTATTTCCCCCCTAAATTCCTTACGTGTATCCTTTCCAAAAATGAAATAATGTGGTATGCTGGCATGCAACATCATGACTTACTTTTTTCTTTTTGTTTATTTCTTTATTTTTTACATTGTCAGGGAGAGAGCTTTTATAACCCATATATTCCTGGGGTTATTGAGGGATTAAGTAAGCAAGGGATGGTTGAAGAAAGTGAGGGTGCCCGTGTGATCTTCATTGAAGGGAAAAATATACCTCTTATTGTTGTGAAGAGCGATGGTGGATACAACTATGCTTCAACTGATCTAGCAGCACTTTGGTTAGTCTTCTGATCATTGAAGTAGATGATGCCTCTTTGAGTATTCTAACTCCAAATGAACTCTCTCTCTCTCCCTCCCTCTCCCTCTTTCATGTAATAAAAAAGGTCTGCTTATTAATCAGAAGAAAGTAGAATAAAAGAAAGATTTCTAGTTTATGTGATGTCTCATGGCAGGCTCTACTCCAAGCAATGAATGGTGATATCTTGTTGTATAATGTAAGAAATTGATAACATATACAGACAAGTATACACAAAAAAGGCAAAGGCAGCAGCTTAGCTGCTGAAAGAACCACAAGGAGGATACTCATTACCTACTTGTCAGATCTTACAAATTACAAGTTGAAGCTCCTGCTTGGTAGAACATTAAGAACCTATATTTTGAAGTTGGGAAGCTTGTGCTGTGCCATACTGGTAACATATATGTTTAAGTAACAACCAAAAGCCACATGAATGATTTTAAGGCACCTTTTTTTTTGATAGTAAATAAAAAAGAAAATTCATTAGAAGGTAAAAAGTACATCAGGTGATGAGTGATAACCAAAAGAAACAAAACTAAAACATAGAAGAAGCACAAATTACAAGTTCAAATCTGCACATTCAATTCCAATAAAGACCAGAACCCCTCTCCAAAATCCTCATTTCATCTTCCAATCTAGAAGATGATTTCCAATCACAGCAGAGTTTTTCTTTGATCTTGGATTTGTCTTCAAAAGTTCCTTCCACACCTCCCAACAAATTGCAGGACTGCAACTCCACACAATTTTTTCTTTCTTACTTGAAGAACTGGACAGCATGAGAAGTTTTCTTTTGAACTGTTAGAGGCCCACATCTACATGTTAATCCTGAATAACTGAAAGAATATGCCCCAAAGAAACTTAGTATGCAAGCACCCAAATAAAGATGCAAAAATATCTTCCTCATGGTCCTCACGTAAATTACATCTGTTAGCAATCTGGAAACCTCTTCTTCTTAAATGGTTCTGCATAAGAATACAATCCAAAGATTATTCATCAAAAAAAAAAGAAAAGAAAAGAATACAATCCAAAGATACTAGCCACACAAAAGCTTCAACTCTTGGAGAGATTGGGTTACCCCAAACCTTGCCAATATTACACTGCTAATACTGATTTTCTTGTCAACACTTTGGTAGAAAGATCTTACTGTGAATTGACCATTTCTGCACTCCTTCAGTTCTGCCATCTCAGATCTGACCTGTTAGGATTGATCTCCACATGTTGAAGTTTGGACAACAAACTCACACATTCCTCAATCCCTTTCTCCAGCAAAGGTCTCCAAAAAACAGAGCAACAAACAACTGAAAATTTCCTCATCTCATAAAAGCGATTAATAGCAACATTTTTCTCACTTAATCTATACAGCTTTGGGCAGATCTCACAAAACCTCCCAAAACCTTATACTTGCTCCATTTCCAACCTTGAAGTAAAATTTAGCAAAGCTGAATGGAATTTCATGATGATACCCTTCCACACACTGATACCACATGATGACTGTAACCTTTTTAGAATCCCAACTGAACATAGAAATTCCATACTTACATCTAATTACTCTCCTCCACAAGCCTTCCTTCTTAACCCCAAACCTCCACAACCATTTCCCCAATAAATCTTTGTTGAAAATTCTTGCTTTTCTAATTCCCAACCCACTATCCTTCTTTGTCCTACAACACCAGTCCCGTTTAACTAAATGAAGTCTTCTTTCCATCACCTTAATATTCCACAAAAATTCTCTCTTCATCTTCTCAATGGATCAGTCACCGAAGCAGGAATCTTCATTGAAGATAAATAATGAATTAATTTGATAGCACTCCACACTCCTTTTATTATGGTGATTCACCACCAAGAGAAAGATACTTCCCTTCCCACCCTACCATTCTTTTAACAATCCTATCCAAAACAGGCTGCCATGTGGACACAGCTGAGGCTTTAGCACCAATGGGCAGGCCCTAATACGTAATGGAACTCCCCACAAGATTCCCGATAACTGCTGCACAGCCCTCTATTAAATTCTGTGAAATATCCCCACACCTATTATCACGCCCTTAGATAAAATTTACTTTCAGACTTGCCAACATTTTGAAACATTTTAATATAGCTCTCAGAAGCAAAACTTGTTCCACCTATGCATCCCAAAAAATTAGACTGTCATCAACATACTGTATATTTTATTCATTTTGTCTTTCCTGACCCTTTATATGTGTGTGTAATGTTTACGGATAAACATTTATCAAAAAAATGCTTATGGATAAACGCATACAGTGCGCATGGCGACCTTTTCTAGATTTGAAGACAGTTTTTGGTAGTGCTCTAATTTTTAGACTTCAGCCAACATTGTCTAAGGCGCTGGCATAAACAGCCACTTTGTACACAAAATGCCACAGATTAGGTCCATAACCATCATTGGGTGATAGCCCCCCTTTTCTGATAATGAATAACCTCTTTTCTCTAAGGGCCTGGTATACTTGGCAATTGGCATTCTCTCTCTGTTGATGCACAAGAACCATGGCCATGTTGACAGATCATAGCATTTCTGTGATTACTTAAAGTTTCCTTCTTAAATCATGCTTGTACCGAAAATAATCCTCAGCCATTAGGTTTTAGAAACATTGAATGAAAATGGCTTGACATTATTGCCTGGAGGCTGGAGGTATGCAATGAAACTTGTTGATTGAGGTGGAGCTATAATCTTGCATGCCATGGTTATCAGATTGAACATCAGAAATCATGGAGATTTTAATTCTTCATGTCTGAAAATGTGATTTTAAGCATAAGGAAATCAGTTTGTGAAAGAGATACACTTTGGATGTTGTAGTTTGTTAAAATTTGAATAATGTTCTACTTAAGTTGCTTGGTTGATTTATAAAATCTTTTCAATTAGTTTGTAAATGCTTTCTGTGAAGTTATTACATCTAGTGGATGATTTGTCTGTTGTTATCATTTTTAGTTTTTTAATCATTATGAGGTGCAAAATTTCTCCTTCCCCTGAGCCTTAAAATATGATGGATGATCTTTTGTAAGTCTGTAATTGGGTTGGGTTTAGATCAGATCTAGCCACATCTGAATCCAATCCGATTACTGAAACTTAATATCCAATTCTGATCCAAAATCCCAAATATCGAACTCAGAATCTGAATCTGTTCTGTTGTCATTAAGATAAAGAAAATTTTAAAAAATAAAATTAATTACTTTTAACTTACACACATATAATAGCATTTTATAAATATAAACAATCACTTTATTATATATTTATATTAGTTTATTACTTTATTATATATATAAGTTAAAAGTAATAAACTTTTTATTCGTTTCTTTATTAAAAAGTGAAGTAGAGTTGGATGAAATCCGAATCCGATTCAAGATCTTCAAATTTGGCCGGATTTCTGATTAGTTTTCATTAATTGGTTTGGATTCATATGTTGCTGAATCTGATCCATTTACAGTCCTAATCTTTTGTATGGCCTTGTTTCATATTTTATCCTTTCTGTTTGATTGGTTTGCCACAACTTGCAAGGTAGAATATGAAGTTCTTAAGAGCTTTCTGGTTTCATCTGCTTTGATAATGGACACACCAACACCAGTACCTTATTGTTGTTCTTTGAGTTTCTAATTTTCCTTTTGTTGCATTATATATATGTTTAATCCATTTATATTTATTCCATTCATGCATAAAACTTGTACTATTTTATTTTGCTGCTTCCAATGTTGCAGGTATCGTCTTAATGAAGAAAAAGCTGAGTGGATAATTTATGTCACTGATGTTGGGCAACAACAACACTTCGAAATGTTTTTCAGTGTATGCACAATGCTATTGATTTGCAACACATTTTCCATAGGGAAATTATCTAAAGCCTCTCCTCACTTTATTGAAATTGTCTAAGAACTTCCCAACTTCTAGATACCTCCAAAGAACCCTGTCATAAGTTTTTTGTGAGTAATATACTTCCCTTATGTCACGCCTTCTTATGGTTTCATAAAGGTAATTTTAAATGACACAAAAATAACCCATTCGATGTCATTTCACATATTTTTAATGTGACAAAAATACCCCTGGTACATGCTAACCATGTTGCTCTGAGTCTGTTCCTCTCAAAATAGAAGCAATGAATACTTTGATTATTGGAAAATAGAAGCAATGAATACTTTGATTTTATTTTATATTGGTATGTCCAAATCTAAATATTAAACTGATTTTCTGATAGTTGCAAAGATCCAAATTTTGATTGCCACTGTCCATTTAATTTCCCAATATCTAACACTGATATGTCCTCATGCTTAACAATTCATCACTTCAATGGGTCCTCTATCTGTTAGGTGAATGGATTTTGTTCATTTAGAACAGCCATTATTTAAGGGTATTTTGAGCATATTATAATACAAAACAGTAAACTGCACACTTTGCATGATGGGTAGAGTAGTAATTTTGCACCTTTTAACTTGTTATTTAATGGAATAAATCTGACAGGGGGTTCCTTGGAGGTATCTAAAATTGAGGGGAAGTTTAATAGCAGCCATTATTTAAGGGTATTTTGGGCATATTATAATACACAATGGTACACTATGTATGGTGTGTAGAGTAGTTATTTTGCACTTTTAACTTGTTATTTAATGGAATAAATCTGACAAGGGGTTCCTTGGAGGTATCTAAAATTGAGGGGAAGCTTTAGACATTGTCAGTACTCAGTAGAACGAGGGGAAGTATTAGATAATTTTCCTTTCTATATTTCTAGTAAGCTCTTCTCTCCTATTGTTTTTTGATCAATAACTGAAATTCATTAGATTAAAAGAATTTAGTTTTAACGCTCCAAAGAGAGATAAACGGGCTTAACTCTCTCCAGTAAGATAACAAAAAAGGAAAAGGTTACAGAACAGCCGAAAACATTTGATCCCTTCCCACCCCTTGCTTTGCCAAAGCATCAGCAAATACATTTGCTGTTCTCTTGACCCACTGAAACTTGATTTCCAGTCCTCTAGTTAGCCAATTAATCTCCCTCCTCTCATTAGCATATTTCCAAAGTCCACTACCTTATTGTAACCAAATTAAGATCAGCTTTAAATCCCCTTCAATGGCTAACTTTTGTATATTCAGTTCCTTAGACTTCCTTATACCCTCCAGTGCTGCATAGACCTTAGCTTTGAGAGAGTCTCCAAACCCAATGTGACCTGAATACAAAGTGAACACCTTCCCATCCTCATCTCTGAAAACCCCTTTTTTTTTGATCAATCATCTCTGAAAACCCCTCCACCTGATGGACCTGGATTTCCCTCACTACTTTTGTCAAAGTTTAGCTTTACAAGTCCACTTCCTGGTGGTGACCACACAGGACAAACTAAAGAGTAGGCAGGAGCAGAATTTGCCACCTCCATCCAGCTATTCAGCAACATATCCATAGAAATATCAACAAACAAGTCCAAGGATTTCAACCAATGTACCACCCTCACTGTTACTACTTCAATAAGGCATTCTTTACTTCTTTCAACTTCAGAGAAAATTTTGGTGTTTCTTTTTTCCCAAAGAGTCTAGCAAACAGCAGCCCTCACACATCTCCACATTATCCTTGTCCTTTTGTTTGGCCAACCAAAGAATGAGAGGCTAAACATCCTTTGAATATTTGGCGGTGGGGTCCACCTGCATCCAAAAGAGGAAAGAGACCATTCCCAAAGATTAGTAGCAAAGGGGCAAGAAACTATTAAGTGGTAGGAGCTTTCACCATTAGCCTTGCAAAGAATGCACCAATTCGGAGACAAACATCAAAAAGGCCTTTTTCTTTGGAGTACGTCACAAGTATTACATCTTCCGAGGAAGGCTTCCCAACAAAAGGCTCCAATCCTTGGAGGAATCAGTTCACCCAAAACATCCTTAATCGGAAAGTTTTGTGCAAATGGACTGGGTGAAGACAATAGGGACTTGAAGAAAGAGGCACAAGAGAAGGTTCCAGAGGGAGTTAGGGTCCACAATCTCTTATCCCTCTCAAAAGGATCCAACACCACCCGGTCTAAGATCTGAACCAGATTCGTGACATTTTCAACCTCTACATCCCTTAAGCCTCTTCTAAGCCCTAGATCCCAATCAAACCTAAAATTAGGCTGAGAAAGAACTAGAAAATTGAACACAACCTTGCCCTTAAACTGGGAGAATGAAAACAAGGAAGGGAATTGATCTTTCAAAGGTATCTCACTCACCCACCCAAATGTACTCCCAAAACTTTACTTGATTCCTAGAGCAGAGGTCATACTTGATGTGCTGCAAAAAGGATGGAAGAATGGCATGAATAGATTTCCAAGGAGAGGCACCAACAAACCTTGCCAAAGTTCCAATGTCCCAGCCATCATCTGCCTGACCATGAATACTTAAAATTACCCTCGTCTACAGTTTCTCCCTCTCACCTCCCAACCTCCACAGCCATTTCTCCAATGATGCTTCATTTTTCCTCCGAATGTTCCCTAAACCTAACCCTTTGTCAGCCTTACTCCTAGAGACTAGTTCCCAAATCACCCTGTGATCCTTCCTCTCCTCCCCTGGTTTCCACAAGAAGTTTTTATCAACTTCTCCAAACTCCTACTTATCTTCATTGGGATCCTAAAAACTGATAACTAATACTGTAATACACAGGCAAACTAGCTAGTGTAGACTTAATTAAAGTAATTCTACCTCCCAGAGATAAATAATTCTCTCCTCTCCTATTCCTTATTACCATGTTATTAATCTTAATAAGATATAATTGAATGCAAGACATTGATGCTGTGATGGAGTTTTTCATGAATGACTCCTTTCTCAAATGAATCTAGGTATTTTGTTTAACAAATAATGATGATTGGAACCTTAGGCTAATGATGATGTTACTTGATAATGTTGATTAGTAGCGTCTAAAGGGCTAGTAGAAGTGAAATTTTACTTGCATAAATGGATCTAAATTTATGATGATTTGTTTCAGGCTGCAAAACATGCTGGTTGGCTTCCATCTGATGGCAAGGCCTATCCCCAAGCAACTCATGTGGGGTTTGGTCTTGTTCTTGGAGATGATGGTAAGCGCTTTCGGACTCGAAGCACTGAAGTGGTTCGATTAGTTGATTTACTTGATGAAGCTAAGAACCGCAGTAAAGCAGCACTTATTGAACGAGGTAGTTTGACTACAAACTTGCTATTTTCATCTTTCCCATTTTCCTTTCCTGATAGGGGATGTGATTAAGCAAGTTTATGCAATTCTTGTATTTGTCGCTTTACATAAATATTGGAACTCATGACAAGATACATTATGAGGCAAAGTTGGACACATCTTTTCAGGTGTTCCCCCCTTGTCTATAGGGTGAAAAAACAAGTGTTTCATAAATCTGTTGTTTACTTGTGCAATTCCTGTATTTGTTGCTCTACATACATGTTGGAACTCATGAAAAGATAAGGCAAAGTTGGACATGTCTTTTCAGGTGTCCCACCTTGTCTGTAGGATGAAAAACAAAGTGTTGCATAAATCTGTTGTTTACTAACATTTCCCTTTTCGATGAGGACCAATCTACTCTTTCTGTTCTGTTTCTTTATCTCTTACATATTCCTAACTCATTTACCAAGATGGGCAATTAGGCATAGGCTGTTCCTGTACTGAAAATGATGAATGATATGATAAGCTTATTGTAACCATATCTAACTATTAAAAAAACCCATATCTAACTATTGGCACTGCTGAATTTTGTATCCTTGACCAGGTAAAGGTGCAGAATGGAGCGATAAGGAGCTCGAACAAACTGCTGAAGCTGTTGGTTACGGGGCTGTTAAGTGAGCTTTCTATTCCTATCCCTTCCTGTTCACTTTTCTTTGGGACTTGGTTAAATGTTTGATGGGTGTGATGGCTCACTTTGATATTTTCTGCGATGTGTAAGTGGCAAATTAGTTTTATCCTTGCAGGAAGCTTCTACAGGGAAGTCCCACCTCTATTGCTAGTTTGGAAACTTGCTCCATTAGAATCTTGCTATTAGGCCTGCTTCTACTTGAATATAATTTTGGGTGAATCACTTCTTCTACCTCCCTTGGGGCTTGGGGTTTCATGAAATAGTAAGACCTCCCTTCAGGTTTATCTATTAATTTGTTCTTTCATTGACCATTTAATTAAAGGGGGTTTGTTATTAATTGAAGAGATAGACTTTAGACATAAGTAAATATTTAACTAAAATTCCATTAATAATAAAATGTCAAATTTGCCTCATATATATATATATATTGAAAATGATAGAAATAACTTAAAAAACTAACTACAGTGTTACCATCTCAAAATTTATTTTTATTTTACTTAAACCTATTTTAATTTTTCATTCCCACCTTAATGCATCGTAGAAAAAATGTCCTTTACAAAAATACAAGGGCTTTTTGTCCATATAACATACAGGTAGGTGATATATAAAGTTAAAATGGACTTTTGGAAAACTTTAAATGTCATTTGAATGCTCCATTACTAAAACTTACAGCAAGTTAATAGAGGTGTGGGATACTGGAAATTAACTCAACCCTAAACTATAACTCTGTAAGGGGTAATAAGTTAGTAGGTAGACCCTAGGTGAGGTTTTAGTATTTGACCAAAACCCTAAGAAAGGTACAAGTAATTTACCATATTGTTTTTCTTTTTCAGAATCTAGACTTTTTCTTTTGGGGAAGGGGGTGAGTGATTCATCTTAAAGCAATGTTTCCAAACTGCAGCCAAATTGGCCAGTTGGACCGGTTGCTTTGTCACACTGAACCAGAGTTGCAAAAAACCATTGACTTGATCAATGACATTTTACCCAGCTGGTTGAACTGCTGAACCATTTGACCTAGTCAGCAGGTCATGGGTCAGATATTTATTTTCTTTTATTTTTAGTTTTTCGTCAATCATTCTCATTTATCACACTTATTTTTGTTTATCTGATCAATACATAGTATTAGAGGTATGCCCGTTTTTCCTATAGTTCTTTTTGTAACTTATTCTCTTTATTTTATCTGTTTTCATATTTTTATTTAATTTATGATGTCATGGATTGACCCGTTTGAATCGTATGATTGAACTGCTGGCCTGCCACCTGGACGGAAAGCAGTTCCATTTCCAGGTCAGTTTTAAAATACTGTATTAAAGTTGTCAATCAGATGTCACTTCATACAGTCATCTAGGTTTAGTGGCTTTCAGTGGGTTGGTTTAGTCTTGGAAATGGCACATGGTGCAGCCGTGGGAGCCATTTTTTAGTGGGTTTTCACTAATTTGGATAACTCGGGGAAGAACACTCAGTGCAACCATGGATGTGGATGCCTCATTAAATGTTGCTTGCTTTTCTTATGACTAAGTGGATACAACTATCCCAAAATGGTGCACTTTTTTCAGTGGATTCTATGAAATTCTATATCATCCACTCAAACAGTTACTTGAAGTTTTAAGTCGACACTGTAAAGTAAAAATACAGACTTATTTCCAGAGCTTTAGCTTTCTGATATTTTGAGAGCTAGCAGTTTATTTCCCTTTCTAATCCAGATTATCCTCCACCAGATGCATGTGGGGCTGATAATTCTTGCAGTTTCAAATTTAGTGTGTGAAAGCTTCTGTATTTCCCCTTGTACTTTTCAATTTGTTTTGATAAATTTGCACTTTCAATTTTTAACCCTCTATTTCTCTACTTTTCCATATTTCCATTCACATTCTATTCTATGGGTGTTACAGATTCTTCTTTCAAGATAATATTTTCATTGATGGCTAAAAAAATCATATTTCTGCAACTGAGTTTTTAACCCAATTTCCTGTTTTGGATCATCATCAATCAAATGTAAATTGTTTTTCTCATAGTCAAACATTTGTTTGTGCCTTAAAACTGTTTTGGGTGTTTGAAAAGGGGTGCTTCCTGTTGGATTTGCTTACTGCTGTTGCAATGCCTTGCTGTAACACATGATACAAATTAAGATGGAGAGGGAGATGAATTTGGCCTGTCGTTAGTATTTGCCATTGTATTGGTAACAAATTGGAAAGCTGCTGTTTGGTATCATGCAATGTCTTGTGGCAGCATTTTGTCCTTTTGGCTCAATAACTGTGTTAGCTCGTGCTTTACTTCTAACTACAATAAGAGCATGCTTGTCTGCTAATTTAATTCTGATATATTGGTCACTCTGGGTCTGCTCATTCTTTTTCTGACCTCTGTTTAATTTGCTTTTTAACAGATATGCTGATCTGAAGAACAATCGACTAACAAATTATACATTTAATTTTGATCAAATGCTTAATGATAAGGTATATTTGCCTGCACAAACTTCCTGCTTACATTTTGCATGAGGCTGTAGTTGAAGATTCTGATGGCACTAGGCATTCAAATGCTGATGGGTGATACAAAATTTCTCTTTTTGTTTTTTGTTTTTTGTTACTTGCTCCATTTTTAGTATTTTAATTATTCACAACTTAAATCATGAATTCTATGGTTTTGATTTGAATCTCATGTCGTCATTATCTAAGCCTTGTCCCAACTATATGGGGTTTTGATTTGAATTTTATATCTGAATCCTATCAATTTAATTAAGAAATAGTTTTTTATTTTGTTAATGATAAAAAAAGTTCTTTATTTTGTTATTTCTTTGTTTCTTTCAAGTTTTATCAATGGATATTTGTTTTGAAGCTCTCACCAATGTTTTGAAAATCGCAATCGTATTGTAAATCGTAGAGAAAGTTGAACTGAATCGAATCGTGAATTGTATTGTAAATTGTAAGATTATTTCTATTTCTTATAAACTTGTCAAAAATTTAAATATAGATATATTAAAAAGCTAAATATATATAGGAATGTAACTTTCCCATATTTTTAATCTACTTATACCATGTATGTACCTAAAATAATAGAATTTACCACTTATACAATAGAAGCCTGAGATGATATAATCAAGTTTGGCTTGAAAGTCAAACAAATCCACATATAATGGCTCTTTAACCTACATATGGTGGAAAATAAACTCAATTTCTAGTCTTAAATAACATAAATAAATCATTTTCTAGTAAGGGCTTTAAAAAAATTTCCCTTGACAAAACTAGATATAAACAAAAACATAGAAAATTAGAGAGCTAATTCTTAATTGAATTTATTTGAATCGTATAAATCGTAAGATTTATGAATCAAATTGTAGGATTCAAACAAAAATTGTAAGATTATTGCAGTAAAGGATTTGGACATAAGATTCAAATCAAAACCCTTGGGATTCATGACTCAAATCGTGAATTGTATCGTAAATCGTAAGATTTCAACAACATTCTAGAAAATGATTTATTCAGGTTGTTTAAGACCTTTTAGAAATCATATTGAGTTTATTTTCCATCATATGTTAGTTAAAAGGCTATTTATGTGGATTGTTTGGATTTCGAGTTGAACATGATTCTAGCATACAAGTGGTAAACTCTATTGTTTATGTACATATATGGTAAGTATGGATTAAAAATAAAGTAATATCACTTTTCTATATATATATATATATTTGGATTTTTAGTATATCTATTTTTAATTACTTGGTTGATATGGGAGGGGCTGTTACTTGGTGTAATGGTAATATCTCAGGCTGGCAAACATGAGAATGCAGGTTGTAGCCAAAGGTTAGGACCATATTCAGTCTACCCCTCCAAAGATCCCAGATAGCTGAGAGTCTGAGACCAACATTGGGTAATGTTTTATTTAAGAGTTTGTAAAAACAGAAGTAATTTATGATTTGAATTAATTCAATTTTCTTTATGCTTTACGAAACGGTTAAGATTTTCAGAACATTAATGGTAATTAATTGGAAAAGTAATAGCTGATAGTGTGTGACAATTAGGAAGTGAGAGATGATGAGGATCTTTCCACTGGATGAAACAAGGAAGTTTAGTGGGGATTTTTCTAGATCACGAGATCCAGATTGCTTGGACCAGCATTGGGGTAATTGCCTTTCAAGAAATAAAGGTGTGGAAGGTGGGAATATCATCTATCTTTTTTAGATAAGAGTGTTGCTAGGGAATTTTGACTGGTTTCATATTTCTAGTAGTTGGAATTAGGTCAGAAGTTAGGTAATGAAACTAAATCAAAATGTTCTCATTGAAGGATCAATGCTTCAAGGGATATGGAAAAAGAGAAAAGTTCCTGGAACATTACCAGATGAAATTTTCAAGGATACAATGTTCATTCTAGAGTGGAAATGAGGGATCTGAAGAAGAAGACTGACATGAATATATATGGGGTTGAGAGTTTAATCTAGAATATCTGCACTGCAGGTAAAAGGGAGGTTGGACATGCTGAATTATGTTTAAATTAAATAGCGAAGGGTCTAAGTTTGCTGTGTACCCCTTTTAGTTTCACTTAGGTTTTTTTATCAATGTGTATGGTTTTGCTTTCTAGAATGCAGATGTTTTTTGCTTTAGAAGACAACCATAGACATTGGCAAACACCTCTTTAGTGTTTGGCTGGAAGTGGTTCTGGTACTTATTGTATGACTATGTCCTCAGTTCGGAATTTGGATGATTTGTCTTTGTTGGGGGTTTCTTTCTGAATGTTCTTTTTCTCTTGTGGTTGGTATGGCTCTTGATGGTTTTTCTTGGGTTACTGGATGTTGATCGGGGAATAATGTGCAGGGTTTCCTTTTCTTTTGCCTATTTGGGCTATTTGTCTGTCTTCTTGTATACCCTTTTTCTTTCTTGTATGCCTTTTTCTTCTTGAAGCATTTTATCATTTATTAGATTGAAACGTCTGTGTGCTTGATCATGTTTTGTTGGGGTGGTTCCCTTCTTGATGATGATGATGATGATGGATGGTGGGGAGTGAGACCTAGGAAAAAATAGGACCTGAGATACCAAACCAGTCCCTTTGGTTTCTGCATTGTCCTGAACCAAAACCAAACCAAATCAATCAGTTAACTAATTGACCAGTTTGATTCTTTGGTTTTTTGTTTTTTTTTGTTTTTATATTTATAATATACATTATAAATGAATATTTGGAAACAGCCTCTCTGTAAGGCTGGTACATCTGTCCCCAGACCCCACTTTGGCAGGAGCCTCATGCACTGGGCTGCCCTTATATTATAAATAAATATATATAAATATAATATATATACTATTATAAATATAATATAACTCAAAAAAAACATATTTCAGTAATTTTGTATGTAAAATTACTGAAATAATTGTTTAAAGGGGTTTTTGTTGAGTTAAAATGGGGTTATTTCAGTAATTTTGTATGTAAAATAATTTATATAAGGTAGAATGGGTATTTGGAAAAAATGGTGCAATCTAACGTTTTCCGTCTGGGACAGTGACAGAAGGGAGGTTTTTGTATTTTACCCTATATTATATTATACATAATATATAATATATAATTTATTATAAATATATTATATTTTATAAATGACTATATATATAATATTGGTCTGTTCGGTTAATAAATGATTTTTCATATTGGTTAACTGAAACTGAACCAGTACCTTCAGTTTTTCAAAAATACCGAACTGATTGATTCGGTTGACCAGATTTTTTGGTTTGGTTTAGTTTTTCGTTTTTTTTATGAGCACCCCTAGGAATGATCACGAGTCATATGGTTRATACCAACTGGTTTGAAATAGGTATAAGCCTCTAGTTTTATAATGGGCCACGAGGCATGCCTTGACACGGAATACTCGCCTTGCTCCTTTTGGTGTTGCTTAAAACTTTTTCCTTGACCATTTTCTGGAGGTAGAAATTCTTTTGAACATTAATTACATGTTAGGTTACATACATGGTATCAGTGCTTGTACTAATTTTGTTGCTACACAGCATCTCTGAGAGGCTTCACCAAGTGAAATTTTGGTAATCATTCCTGGGTTTGTATTAAATGTATGTATGGGATGAATTATTGTGCAACCTAGTAGCATATTCATATCTACTATCTCTTGGTATACACCAGTAACTGGGCATTTGTTCAAAATTAGTTCATCTGCACAACCCAATAAAATATAATGTGGTGCACTTCAGGGTCTCATAGCTATAGGGAGCATCATTAATATGATCAAGCACGTTGATCATCATCATCATTGTCCTCTCTTCTACACTCCATCCCTTTCTCTCTTGGTTTTCTCTCTTACTTATGTGGAACTCTTGATGAGCAGGGAAATACAGCTGTTTACCTCCTCTATGCACATGCTCGTATTTGTTCAATCATCAGAAAATCTGGTAAAGACATTGAAGAGTTGAAGAAGGTAAATTCCCTTTAGGCTAAACTTCTATTATCCCTTTAGGCTTGCAGCTTGCTTGATGCCTAAACTTAGAATTTGATTTGTCTGAGTTGCTAATGAAACTATAGCCATTTGATTTTGAGAGTGTTTTCTGTTCCAATTAGATGTTTCTAATATTATTCTTTGGAACAGACGGCAACAGTTGTGCTGGATCATCCAGATGAGCGTGTCTTGGGGCTTCATCTACTCCAGTTTGCTGAGGTAGGGGATTGCTGATTGCATAGAAAGTTCTTATTTGTTCCTAGTGTCTTGTTCTTTTATGTCGAGCTCTTAACATAACATGCTAGATGGCACTTCTGTAGTTCTGTTACTGATGGAATGCTTTATGTTCACTCCCCCTATGTCAGACTGTTGAGGAGGCTTGCAACAATCTCTTGCCGAATGTGTTGTGCGAATATCTCTACAACTTGTCGGAGAACTTCACTAAATTTTATTCCAATTGTCAGGTCTGGTATATCTGTTCAAAAGTTTCATCAGTTCTCAGTAACTGATTTTCTTAATGCTTTCATCTTATCGTAATTAAAACTCAATAGGAGCTGGAGATGCACATACTAAAGGTCCAAATTGTTAGGTGGCTTAGAAAAACTGATGCTAATTTTCTCTCTTATAAGACATGCACACTCAAACAATGAAAGCAAAGAAAAGAACTCTCTGTAGGTTTATTGAATGATAAATGATTACATCAATTTACAACTTGTTGAGCTCACTTGGTCTTCAACTTGGGCAGGTTGTTGGATCGGCAGAGGAGACGAGTAGATTGCTGTTATGTGAAGCAACAGCCGTAGTCATGAGGAAATGCTTTTATCTACTTGGAATTGTACCTGTCTACAAAATATGACAATACTTTTATGGTTTATTTGTTACCCATCCTCCACACATATGTTTAAGATGGGTGTTGAATGTATACACGACTCAGTTTTTATAATTCATAAATGATGACAGAAATGGATGAGGTTCTTGATTTGGGGGAATTATGTACATCCATCAAAATGTGTAACCCAGATAGTAATTTCTAAGTTGCAGATTTTGGCCATAAATGTTGAGTAGTAGGTGAAATTGAGAAAGCTTATTGTATGGCTGGTGCAGAATCTTGTATATGGCAGAACGCAGAAGTACCATAATTGGAAAGTTGGTGCACAATTTATGTCGTGTTTGATAAGCACAAGTATGACATAACCTAAGTGTGACATACATTTTGCCATGTGTGCGTCTTACTGTCTTGTTTGTGTTTATATCATACTTGTAAGATTGCATATTTTTACACTGTACTGTGTTTTGTGAAAAGCATATTTTACTAGTGTGACTGAGCCTGAAAAACGAAATAGCCCAAAATGATTTCATTTTTTTTTTGGTTATAAATTGGCTTTTACTTTCATGCTAGCTAAACTCCGTTTTTTTTCCTCTGCCAAAGCACAAAAGTGTTCCAATAAAAACACAAATTCAACTGTATTCGATCAAACTGACAAACATATGTGCTTTGATGGTAATAAGCAAACGGACAAGGGATAAGTCCAATTTTTTCAGTACATTGGTTGCAACACATTGGATGATCATATCCCATGTTGGTGTGATGTTTTAGCTACTAAAAACTGAAGTCACGGAATAAAAAAAATTGTGGTCGATTTATTGGAATATACATACAATAGTACAATAGCAGATATAGGCATATAGCACATTCATTCGGATTGCTCGAATCATCAATGGTCATTGACCCAAGCTACTTAGTTAAACGGGTCTCTCTAGTTGTAGAACCTGAACCGAGTCCCATCAGTATTTGAACTTTAAAAATGTAGGTAGCCAAGAAAATTTTAAGCCTGAGTTGCTGGTAATGGGTTCCACTGACAACAATACAGGGTCGTGTCGGGTGTTAGCAATGTTTTCAACCTGTTGTTGATGTAGCCGGGTGATCTAGAGACGTGATGATAATCTTGGTTTGGGTCAAACCTCATGAGCTGATTTATTAATCTAGATGGTTGAATCACTGATATGTGTCATTTGGGATTTATGTTGAGTATTTGGTATTAATCTCCTCATCCCCATCCCTCCAAAGAAGATGAAAATTTGCCCATCCCATTGCCGAGGAAAATCATCCCATTCGGGTGGATCCCAATTGGGACCAGAAAAAACTGCCATGCCTACTGCTAATTCAAAGACAGGCCAATAACATAAAACACAGAAATTTATTTGTTTAGAAAGAAAGTTAGAAACAAGGGCAGAACAAGAACAGAAATGTAACAGTCAAACTCTCATCGCTAGTAGTAAGATGGCAAAGAATTAGGAATAGAGCGAGTGTAGAGAAGATTGCAAAGCTGAACGGAGGACAACATTCCAACCCTCTTGTGTAGGATGAAATAGGTCCCAAAAGAAAGCAGTCTCAGTGTTGTTGCATATTGTATACTTCTTCACCTTACTCTCATCTATGCTCCCACATGAGTATGAAACACCTATGCCTATGCAACATGGCTTCAATGGATTATCAAACTTTAAACTTTCTGGGTGGCCTTTCTGTCTCTCAAATACAGACATGAACGCACTGTAGAGATCAAGAATTTTGTATGCTGCCACCGTACTCTCGTTGTTCAGCTTTTCTACAGCTTGGTGCAATAAGTGGTTGTGGAATTTCACAGCTGCATTCCGACTTTCATTGCATCGTTGGAACGATGAAGAGGCTGTAAGATAAGGAAGACATCCCACTGGCTGGAGAGCTGTAACTACTACTATCTTCACTCCTGTTTCATGAATGCGCTTCAGATTCAAGGCCAGTTGCTTAACCACTGACCTAACCAAGTCTGGCAAACCCTTTATTCATGGAAGACCAGAACACAGAGGAAAATTTAGTTAGGTTAGAAAGTGGATGTAAATATAGCTTATAATACTCTAAAGATTAAAATATGGGAAAAAAACATAGATAACCTATAAATGGTTTCCAGCATTGGATTTATAAGTGATTTGAACTTCTGGTCCACCATCCATAGATAGCCATTAGCCATAGTTTCAGACTTACAGGCTTGAGAATTAGGATGGATTTCACATCCCATCGGCCAGGCCTGGGGCCTAATATTTAGAATTGTTAAACGTGCCACGACAAGCTAGTTGAATTGCTCTGCCAATTTAGATTTTAAGCCCCATAGAGATGGCAACTCAATCCATGTAACAATCTACAAGAGGGGTAAATTTTACTAGGCAGCTCTAGAAAAGCTTAGAATACCCATCAAAATTCAAGACTACTTGCATAGGCTTGAGCCCGTTATTATTTATAGCCCACAATGAATCCTGTTTGATCAAGATTCAAGGCCCAATCTGATTAAGAGAGAGAGAGAGGGTTTTTAATAATCACCTCTTCGGTGCCATTTCTAGCAAAGTAAGTACTGTAGTCGTTTCCAGCAAGTGATACCAGAGCGATGGACGAGTCAAGGTCGAGCTTTGTGTACACTCCATTATCGTGGATGAGCTGTTGAAAGTAGTCAATTTGGGTGGTCATGTTTGGGTTGAGAGACAGTGTATCAAACACACCTGTCCCTCCATAAGCAAAATTCATCCCATGCCTTTGTTTTGCCCCAAATTTTCTCCGTCTATAAGGTATTGGAGACTTGATTCCTATTAACGAACCTGCATATTTCAATGGAAGATGGAATGAAAGAAAAAAAAATCTTAGAAAACACCCCAAGAGGAAAGACGAACAGAAAATTGCGAATGATCCAACAATCAGAAGTTAAATTATTGAACACGATTTGATGTATATGAGGATTGAGGTTAATGTAAGCGTCAAATTTGGGCTTCAATGGTTTCCATGTTAACACAAATCCATTTAGGTTGCATTTGTAATTGATGCAAAACATCATCGTTCGGTGTAAAATTACATGGGTTACATCAAACTGTTGGCATATCACCGTTTGAATTTCAAAAAGTGTGACAAAGTTTTATATCGATTTTATTGATGTAGTATTTACATCCATAAAACTCTACATTAGGTAAAGCTTTATGAGGTAAAATTCCACCAACTCCGTCGATCTTGATTTATTTTACACTCCTTTTAAATGCTGATCAAATTGAACCGACATAAATATTTACATTGTTCTTAATTTACATCGCTTCCAAATATGCACCCTACGCAGCCCAAGTGGACACATCTGTCTGTCGAATTGTGAAGGCTGTTATTGTGTTTGTTGGAGCGGGTGAGAAGCACCTAAAATTGCTTAGGATTCAAGGAAGAAAACGGAAAGCAACAAACAAAACCCAGAGGAGTTCTTGAGTCTACTCTAAATTGTAATGGTGGCTTCCACGTGGTATCAACCATTCTCTTTTTCTTACACTAGTCTGCAAAAAGGACAGTTGGTTCCTTGCATGGCAATAGGGTGTTACAGTGATTACATGTTTGCATGATACGTGCAGAGAGAACTTGGGGCGCGTTTTCACATTTTAGAAACAAGCAGACACCCATCGAGAGAGAGAGAGAGAAACCCACCTATGTAATCGGTCAGGACCCTACCGTCAGACCAACGGCCGGCTGGTTTACCAGGAAAAGTGATCCCATAAGGTTCATGCCATGGTTTTTCAGATTTTGGGTTGTTGCCGGTGTCAGCGTACGAATCTCCGAAAACGAAAAGTTTTGTAGGACCGAGAAGATGAAGACGGCGGTGGTGGCCATTATGATGATGAGAAGATGAACTTTGAACCACTTTAATTCCTGTGCAATCACAAAATTATAAAATTATCTGTTACCCATTAATTTTAGGAACCGAAAACACCACGAATTCAGCTCTGTTTAATGATGGACAAGAATGAAAGATAAGAAGAAGAACAAGTTATACAAGCTCTAGGGTTTTTACCAGTCATAAGAACCCAAAAAGACAATAATTGAAACAAGAAAACCTGCTTTCTCGTCTTCCCCATGAGAAAGGCCTCAAGGGAGGGAAGATTTACAGACGTCTGAAGGGAGTGAAAGTGGAGGATGAGATAATAAAGTAGTAAACTTTTATAGTGATGACTTCTGACGAGGCCGGTCCACTTGGTCGTCATGAACTCAGGTCTTCTCTCGGGTCTCTTTGAACAACCGGAAGTAAATGCACTATAATTGTTTACAGATTATTATCATTAATATTATTATTATTATTAAGCACAGTAGTTGAAATATTCCATCTGTGTTGGTTTGATCAATGAGCCGGGCATCAAGAGTATTGGGTTAATGCATTCGTCTCTTAACGATATACATGGAAGGTTGAACACAGACAACTGTGCAAATAATTATTATAAAAACAAAACGAACCATATTATCGAACACCCCGTAAAAAGCAGATTATGTTTTTATAAATTTATTAATATATAGATCTAGATAATTTATTGGAAGCTTATTTTTACAAATGGTTGAGTTGTGGTCAGCTTAGCCTAATAGGTTCAAATCCCCACACTTTTTTTGTGATGCCGATTGATTTATTATAAGTTTTTCCGTTATGATCATGGCAATCATCGAACCCTAAAAACTAAATTTATTCAAATCCAAAATCCCATCATCATCTCTCTAATTATGGTTAAATGAATATCGAAATCCAACTTAAATAAAATCAGATTCATTTGTTCTGATCTATTTGTTGCCGTAGCATTAATTCTTCACTATTTTTTTTCCTAAAAGAGCCCAAAGACTAAAATCATTAATCATTCATCAATACAAGAAGAGGGAGAGGACCAAGTGAAAATGCGAGTACACAGAGTAGCATATTTTGCCAAGTACACTCATGAATATGCACATGGATCGATAAGCCAAAGGAGAATCGAATGGTTCTTCAACAGAAGTGAACACACACTATTATGGAATCACTTCCATTGATTAATTAGATGAGAAAAGCACATACTTAATTTTCGCAAACTTTAAACCTTAGGTTTCACTACTAAAATTTAATATATATATATATTAAATCAAATATGAATTAATTTAAATTATATATATATATAAATATACATTAAATCAAATATATATTAATATTGAGAATTAATCCACTTATGATTGAATCAAATATGAATTCACCTCTATCCGATCCTACATAATCTGTCATAGTTCGATTTAAATAGGGGTGGTGTCTCCTTCGTCAAATGGCAACCCTTTAATATATAATTTTGCCACCCTTTAATATATATATATATATATATATGCCTCCGGTTTTGAGTTGATAGTTTAATCGCCTGATTTGAACGAATAGTCCGTTTTAATAATAAAATTATAAGTAAAAATTATAGAATCGTTCTGGCCACCGGTATTGGGTTGACGGTTCAATTGTCTAATTTGAATGGGGGACTCGTTTTGACAATAAAAATTACAGGGAAAAAATTGAGTGTGTGAGGTCCATTAAGCAATATCATATGTGTTATGTCATTCGAGTGTATGACTCATACGACCCAAAAAGGGAACCGTTCTGGCCACCAGTTTTTGGGTCGACGATTCGATCGCTTAGGTCAATGGGTCGTTTACTGATTCAATGATTTTTGGCTAGGGACCAAGATTGGGGTAAAATGGAACCGGTTGCCTATGCGGTTCCCAATTAAAAAAATGACGGGCTAATTGTTCGATTCGAATGGACAACCCATTTTGACAACAAAAATTAAAGGCAAAAAATTGAGTGTGTGAGGTCTATTAAATAGTATCATATGTGTTATGTCGTTTGTGCATGTGACTCATAAGACTTGAAAATGGAATTGTTCTGGCCATCGGTTTTTGGGTCAACGGTTCGATCGCCTATTTCGAACAGACGACCCATTCTGACAACAAAAACTAAAAAAACAAAAAATGGCCAAAAACGATTGAATGGATAAACGACCGATGGTTCGACCTCCCGGGTCAATGGGTCATTGATTGATTCAACAATTTTTGCCCAAGGATTATGATTAGGATAAAACGGAACTAATTGCTTGGACGGTTCCCAATTAAAACATAAAAAATGGTCAAAAACCATTGAACATGTCAACGGGTCGACAGTTTGACCGCCCAGGTCAATGGGTCGTTAGTCGAATCAACGGTTTTGTCTAGGGACCGGGATTGAGGTAAAATGGAACCGATTGCTTGGACGGTTCCTAGGCCGAAATGTCCATCCGTTCGGGTCAACAACGGTTCGAAAACCATGGTTTTTTATGCTTTTGGATTTTCACTATTCAAAGGTTTCTTCTACTGTTGGCTTTATTCGAGCGTGTGCGGTATGTTCATTTTTTCATTTTTTGCTTTTGTATTTTTTTTGTTTTTTGTTTTCTTTTTTGTATTTGGTCTTCTTCTTCAAGATCCTCCAAAACAAGGGTTTACCTCCATTTTATTTCTTCCCTTTGTTTTTCTTTAGGTTTTCTTGTGCATTTTTTTTTAATTTTCTTACAAGATGATCTGCTTTGTCTCTTTCTTTGGTTGCATGTATGTTTAGCTCTGTCTCAAAGCGAAACTTTGGACTTAATTTTTTGATTTTTTTTCCTTAGTTTTTCTAGTTTGGTGGATTTACCGCCATTTATTTTCTGTGTTTAAGGTCACTTTGGATTTATCTTTCAAGGTTTTGGAATCCCTTGTAATGTCCACCCTTCCCATAACTATGGCTACAAAGTTCTTTCGTCTAATTATTGGCATCTAGAAAAAACGGCCCGAAAACAGAACCGTTTTGCCCATCGGTTTCTAGAACGGATGACCCATTCTAACAACAAAAATAAAAAATAAAATGGCCAAAAACCGTTGAACAGGCCGACGAGTCGATAACTTGGGTCAACGGGTCATTGACTAATTTAACAATTTTTGGCCAGGGACCGGGTTTGGAGTAAAACGGAACTGGTTGCCTAGATGGTTCCCATGCCGAATGGTCTTACTATCCGGGTTGACTAGGAGTTCTCAATGTGAAATAAAGAATAGCTATGAAGTAGAACTCAGAACTATTACTGTATGATCATATTCTTTTATATGAGATGCTTTGCTAAAGCAATATTTAAAAAACGAGCACAGGATGATCTCTTTTAAGTCTTTATATGAGTTTCAAGACTTGGGTACTTATAATTGCAAGTTTCTTATCAAGGAACCATTGTCTTTTTTAATATAGTAAATAACAAAGTTGCAATTCCATTCTAGCCCCTATSAAGTAGGGCGCACCGCTAGTTTTTAGTTATCAAAATAAAAGATGTAAATTTCTAAATATATTTTATTTTATTTATTTTTAAATAAATAAATTCCAAGGGGGTGCAGTTTCAGATTTCTGGGGTGGATTGCAATCCATATCCCTAAAATAAGCAGAGAAAATGTGACATTCACGCAAGATTCTGATTTCTGAGTCCGACGTAAGCAGAGAAAATGTGCAAAGTGTTTCCACGACTCCTAGCCTCCCTTCCAGTTCACAAACCAGTTCAGCAGAGGAAAGTCTTTGCCAAGTCAGATCCTATTGTTATAATATGCGACTTGCTAATTCACGGTCAAGATGTATCATCAGACTATGATGTACACCACTCGATCTAATCCTGTTTATTATTGTTTTATTGAATTTTCCGTCAAATGGTCCCTCCTCACCAACCACGACTATGACTACGACTCTGTTTGTGTTCACATGATTCCCAACTTCACATTCCAAATAGACACAACAAGTGCTCTCACTCTTGGTGGTATGAGCTATGCTAACGTGTTTCACAATGCTACCCACTTCTATGGACTGTGGTGATGATCGTGCATTTAAGTCCGTTGGTTTTGGGGTATGACCTACCCAAAACCGACGGATGTTCAGTAGCACTTACATGGAAAATAGCTGGTGAATATTGCGGGTTGCTTTTGGTTTTGGAGCTATGCTAATGTGTTTCACAACGCTACCCACTTCTATTGACCGTGGTGATGGTTGTGCATTTGAGTCCGTCAGTCCCAAAACCGACAGATGGACAATAGCGCTTACATGGGAAAAAAAGCTGGTGAATATTGCGGGTTGCTTCTGATTTTGGAGCTATGCTAACATGTTTCACAACGCTACCCACTTCTATGGACCGTAGTGATGGTCGTGCATTTAAACCCGTCGGTTTTGGGGTATGACCTACCCAAAATTGACGGATGGGCAGTAGTGCTCACATGGAAAAAAAGCTGGTGAATATTGCGGGTTGCTTATGGTTTTGTGCTATGCTAACATGTTTCACAACGCTACCCACTTCTATGGACCGTGGTGATGGTCGTGCATTTAAGTCCGTTGGTTTTGGGGTATGACCTACCTAAAATCGATGGTTGGACAGTAGCGCTTATATGGGAAAAAAGCTGGTGAATATTGCAGGTTGCTTCTGATTTTGGAGCTATGCTAACGTGTTTCACAATGCTACCCACTTCTATGGACCGTGGTGATGGTCGTGCATTTAAGTCCGTCGATTTTGGGGTATGACCTACCCAAAACCAATGGATGGATAGTAGCGCTTACATGGCATAAAAGCTGGTGAATATTGTGGGTTGCTTCTAGTTTTGGAGCTATGCTAACATGTTTCACAACGCTACCCACTTCTATGGACCATGGTGATGGTCGTGCATTTAAGTCCATTGGTTTTGAGGTATGACCTACCCAAAACCGACGGATGGACAGTAGAGCTTACATGGGAAAAAAAGCTGGTGAATACTGCATGTTGCTTCTGGTTTTGGAGCCAATCAAGGATGGACATAAGGGGTTCACACAGATTTTCCAATGTGAGCGCTCTTGTTGGATACTTGGGTTTCCGTTATTGAATTTGATCTACAGGGTTGGGTTGGGTAGGTTTTTTGTGAGAAGATAGCAAGAAAAATAGACTAGAGGGAAATTTTAGCGCTAAATTACAAAAACATCCATATCTATTTGCTGAAATGACGACAGGAGTTGCCTGTTCAGACATGGAATCCTCTTTGGAGTACAAGGACGTCCAAGGTCCAACCAATGGAGCCCATTCGGTTGGAGCAACATCAATTGGGCCTATGAAGATGACCCATTTCTTTCAGAAGAAACACTTGATGAGGCCCATATGTAGTAGTTCCTAAGCTTAACAGTGAAAAATCTCTCATCTCTAAAATAGTCTAAATGACTATTTTTCTTTTTCTTTATACAAAAGAAATGACATGATCTATGCTCAAGGTCTTCTAAAAAGAAATAACAGGATGTAGTTCCTGAGCCCAACAGTGTTAACTCAAGAAGTTGCTTTTGGGCTGACTAATTGTGTTATTTTATTGGGCTTCACCACAAAAGGATTTGATGGGCCTCAGTGGCAACGGAAAATGGGCTCTATTTTCTTTGTCAAATCAAGATCCAATTGAAACTACAAATTGGTTGTAGTTCGGTAATTTTGCTATATAAATGAACCCCACATTAACCTGAGTCTCCCATTGTATTTGTCTCGCTCTCGAGGCTGTGGAGTCTGAGTCGAGACTTGCTGTTTCCTTCTTTCAATCCTTAGTTGATCAGAGACGCAGACCTCAAGTCATTGTTCTTCTGCAATTGCTCTCTGACATTCTGCTTCTTCTTCACCATTAATTTCAATAAGTTAAGAGATTTGGAACCTTGAACAATTGGGTTTTTATTTTATTTTTCTTTTCATTTTTTCTCATCTCTAGAACTGATTGGAATCCGTTTTCCCTCTGATTTTCAAATTTTAATCTTTAAATCAGTAAATTATCATCTTTTATTTTCTCTGTTTCTGATCGGTTTCAAATCGGAAAAAAACCTAGTCTAACTTCTCCCTTTAAATTTGTTGAAATTCCAGCTTTCTGGTTTCATTTGATAATTATTAAACTACATTTCTCAGCTTAAGTAGGCGTTTTTTTGTAGTTGAAGAGATTTCTTCAGCTTTTGTTTCGAAAGGAAAGAATCAATAAATCTCTCTCTCTCTCTCTCTCAGATTTCGTTGTGGTCAAAATGGAAAATGGATTGCAGAACTTGGTACTAATGGTGACTGCTCAGACTCCAACGAATGTCACAGTCATCAAGTACTGGGGGAAGAGGGATGAAACCCTAATTCTTCCTGTAAATGACAGCATCAGTGTAACGCTTGATCCAGAGCATCTCTGCACGACGACTGTTGTTGCTGTTAGTCCCAGTTTTGAGAATGACAGGATGTGGCTCAATGGGAAGGTGTATTTCATGGATATCTCATTTGTTTGTCTGGTTGAGGTCTGATTTCTGATGCTTTTTAGTATTTGCTCACTCTAGGAAATTTTAACTTTTGTTGGTTAGTGTAGGAGATTTCCCTCTCTGGTGGTAGATTTCAGAACTCAGAAATCCGATGCCATGCAAATAGTGTTAATGATGAGGACAAGGGGATCCACATTAAGAAAGAAGATTGGGACAAAGTGCACGTACATATTGCTTCCTATAACAACTTTCCGACTATCGCTGGGTTGGCTTCTTCTGCTGCTGGTTTTGTTTGTCTTGGTAAAATTGCATGCAGCCTTTGCTCTGTGGTGTTTTAAATTAAAAGTTGTACATCTTGTCTGGTGACTGGGAATTGGGAAAAAGTTTACATGAGTAATAACTGTAGCTTAAGAGTAGTTTATATTTATTGCAACAAAAGAAAAATGTAGTTTATTATATGTATTTCGGGAATGGGGGGTAGACGATTTTTGACTAGCATTGGTGTCTGATCTTGTTATTCTTTTAGATAGGAAATTTAGGTTTCTTGAGGAAATGGTTAGATAGAAGAACTAGATTTGGGGTTTGGAGTGATTCGACTGATATTTTCACTAAAGATGTAGGTTGGCAAAATTGTTACACATATGGGAAAAAGCTTACACCAAATGACGATGATTTCCATAGAAGAACCGGATTTGGGGTTTGGAGTGATTCGATTGATACCTTCACTAAAGATGTAGGTTGGCAGAATTGTTACACATATGGGAAAGAGCTTACATCAAATGATGAGGATTTCTAACCTCTAACAGGGTGTTTGACAATATGTATGACCTTGTCTTTTAAACCAAAAGAATAATTGTTTTTCTTTTAAAGAAACAATATCAAACATATTGGTGAACAACCCTTAAATTGTTCAAATTAAGATAATGAGTAGAATTGCCATTATTATTCTCAAAATCTACATCCTTTAAATTTCTGGTATTTAGTGGACAAGATATAAGAAAAGATATAATGTGATGATAAGAAAAGATATAAGCAACCATGTGATGCCAAGGATGACTTAACATGCTCACTATAGGTGCTATTTGGATTTGCCATTCATGTTTATGATCTTTGGTCTATGGCATTCACTTGCTTGTATATCTATTAAAGGGATAGGGTGGTCTCCCCTTTCGCCAGATATCCCTTTAATAGATATATAAGATGCCACTGGTTTTAGGTCGATGGTTCAACTGTCCGGTTCAAATGAATGATCCGTTTTGACAATAAAAATTACAAGTAAAAAATTATGGAATCATTCTGGCCACCGGTTTTTGGGTCGACGGTTTGACCATCCGGTTAGAACGGACAATCCATTATGTCAACAAAAATTATAGGAAAAAAATGAGTGTGTGAGGTCCATTAAGTAATATCATATGTGTTATGTCATTTGAGTGTATGACTCATACAACTTGAAAAACGGAACCGTTCTAGCCTCGGTTTTTGGGTCAATGGTTCGACCGTATCTAGTTTGAATGGATGGCCCGTTCTAGAAACAAAAAATAAAAATAAAAATAAAATGGCCAAAAACCATTGAATGGGTTAACGGCTCGACGGTTCGACCAATAGGGTCAATGGGTTGTTGACTGATTCGGCGGTTTTTGTCTAGGGACTAGGATTGGGGTAAAACGGAACCGGTTGCCTATATGGTTCCCAATTAAAAACATAAAAAAAAAATGGCAGTTTGACCGTCCTGTTTAAATGGACGACCCATTCTGATAACAAAAATTACAAGCAAAAAATTGAGTGTGTGATATCCATTAAGCAGTATCATACGTGTTATATCATTCGAGCGTGTGACTCAAACGACCCAAAAACGGAACCATTATGGCCACCAATTTTCGGGTCGACGGTTTGACTATTCGGTTTGAACAGACGGCCCGTTATGACAACAAAAATTAAAAAAATAAAAAAATGTCCAAAAACCATTGAACGGGTCAATAGGTCGGCAGTTCGACCACCCACGTCAATGGATCATTGATCGATTCAACGGTTTTTGGCCAGGGACCAGGATTGAGATAAAATGGAACCGGTTGCCTAGATGGTTCATAATTAAAAAAAAAATAAAAAACGGTCAAAACCATTGAATGGGTCAACAAGTCGACAGTTCGCTCGGGTCAATGGATTGTTGATCGATTCAACAGTTTTTGGCTAGGGACTGGGATTGGGGTAAAATGGAACCAGTTGCCTAGACGGTTCCTAGGCCAATATGTTCGTTTATCTGGGTCAACGGTGGTTAAAAAACCATGGTTTTTTATGATTTTGGATTTTCACTATTTAAATGTTTCTTCTACTGTTGGCTTTATTTGAGCATGTATGATCTAGAGTTTACCACCATTTTATTTCTTCCATTTTGTTTTTTCTTTGGATTTTCTTGTTGAATGTTTTTTTTTTTTAATTTTTTCTTACAAGACGATTTTTTTTGCCTCTTTCTTTGATTGCATGTATATTTAACTCCGTCTCAAAACGAAACTTTGGACTTAATTTTTTGATTATTTTTCCTTTGCTTTTCTAATTTAGTGGATTTATCATTAATTTTTTCTATGTTTAAGGTCACTTTAAAAATATCTTTCAAAATTTTTGAATCCCTTATAATATTCACCTTCCCATGATTTTATTTAAGAGACCCTTCTACTAGTTTAAATGTAAAAGAAAGTAGATAGATGGGCGGAAAATGAAATGTATCAAAAACCACCATACACACATTGATAATAGACTAAATAGTAATAGCTGTTGAGGGGATATGATGGAGAAATTAAGTAGGTAGGCTAGGCTAGGAGTAGAGTTTGTTGAAAGAAGAGTGCAAAACTAGACTGACAGCATGCCAACCCGCTTGTGAAGGGTGCAGCAGGTCCCAAAAGAATGCGGCCTTGGGGTGCTTGCATACTCTATACTTCTTCTTTCCGCTCAGCTGGTCTGTGCTTCCACATGAGTTTGAGGCATCCATACCCACACAACATGGCTGCAACGGATTACTGAACTTCACATTTCCTACACACAAGCCCAAATTAATGTATATATATATATATATATATATATATATATATATTAATTCCTACTTGTTTGAGATAATTAATTAATTAAGTAGAATCGATCACAAGCATGGAAATAAAATTAAATTAAAAAAATAGACAAATTAATATATAATTATTAAAAATAAAGAAATTTGTTGAGAATAGAGATGAAGGGCATTTACCTGATGAATTGCGTTTCTTGAAAACGGACATGAATGCAGAGTGGAGATCAAGTAGGAAGGTAGAGTTTTTGACCTCATTGTTTAGTTGTTGGACAGCCTGTTTCAAGAGGAAGTTGTGGAAGTTGACAGCCATGTTTTGAGTTGCATTGCAATGTCGATAATAAGAAAGGAGTGTGTTTTGGGGAAGACATCCCAGCGGCTGCAGAGTTGTCACTGCTACTTTCTTTACTCCCATCTCATGAATCCGCTTTACATTCAACTTTAATTGATTAACCACGGAAGCCATGAAGGCTGGCAAACCCTATATATCGATATTTACATTTATGGAAGGATAAATTAAAATTAAAAAAAACCCCTCCAGATTAAAAGCATTTTGGAAATTTATTGGTCTATTTTGAACCTTTTAGGCTCAGTTTGGAAGGAGTATAAATGAGAATCTGTACTGTACAAATAGATACAAAAATAATACAAAATGTAAGATTTTGCATTCTATATATATATATTTGTATTTGAACTCTTTTGAAAGGAGTATAAATACAAATATGTATAGTACAAATATATACTAAATACAAGTTTTTGCACTTTACATATCTGTATTTGTACTCCTTCCAATTGATTATAATACAAACCTGAACCAGATGCAAATTTGCATCCGTTTGTTTGTAACTATGATTTGGATTTCTATCTGATGCAAAGTTTATTATACTCACTAGCACTGCAAATTTTACATCACAATAACTGATGCAAGATTTGCACCACTTCCCATTTTACCTTATTTCTCTCTCTCTCTCTCTCTCATATAAAATGGAGATCACCTGATTTTGCTTTTTATTTTACTCCTCTTAAACAAACGGCCTTTTTCCTACCTTCATTCTTTCTGATATATATAAAGTGGAGACCACATCATTTTACTTTCAATTTTACCCTTAGCAAACAAACAAAGCAAGAGTAAAGCAGAATTTACAAGCAGCTCATTTCACTCATATGTATTTACACCAATGCAAATGAAATTTGCACTGTAGGCAGATGGAGCCTTCTCATCCAAAATAAAGTGAAAATTTTCAACAAATTTCAATTATTTTATTAAAAACTTAATACTATTCTATAATATTTTAGTTTTTTGTTATTATTTCAAAAGTTTGGGTGAAATAATAAGTAGCCGAAATCCCAATATTTTTCAAAAAGATACCAAAAATTCTGCTAAATAGATACACCCAAAAATTTTCACGTCTGGTTTCCATTGCTATATCAGATATTAGAGCAGTGGTGGAAATTATGCATACAATTCTTTCTTTCTTTCTTTTTTCTTTTCCTTTTTTTTCCTGGCTTCATGTTCTACCATGGTTTTCAAAACCAGACCGGAAAAACCGGGAACTGGTTACCTGACCGGTTCTATTTTTCCCCAAAACCGTTGATTTTGATCAGTAAACCACTGAACCAACCGGTTAACCATTCAAACCGATAATCAAACCCTGACCGATTCAGTCACCAAATCGGTTTTAAAAACCATGTATTCTACACAATGGGGTAGCCCGTTACCTTGCCCATAGATCCATTAACAGTAACAGAGTCTATTTGATACTAACTGGGCCTATTGGGTCCATATAACCATTATCAGACATAATGGACATACAGCTTTAAACACCAACCCCTAGGCAAATGCAGATGTATAAAGCCAAACATCTAGGAGAGTAGGACATAAGGCTGTGTTTGGTTTGTACAGATTTCTCTATCTTTTCTTTCAAACCAAACACATCCTAAATGAACCAGAATACTTCTAAATATGCATTTACATCATCGGAAACTGGCTTTGCTAGAATATTCTCTCAACTTCTATTTTTTTTTTTATCAAACCAACCATAACCATAAAAGCACCTTATTACCTTAAAAAGGGTGAGGGAAAGAAAGGGTTGTTAATGGATTACCTGAGCAGTGCCACTTCTAGCATTATAAGCACCATAGTCGTTGCCCGCAAGTGATACAAGAGCTAGAGATGAGTCCAAATCACGCTTGCTGTAGACTCCAGTTTGGATGATCTTTTGAAAGAAGTTGATCTGTGTGGTCATGTTTGGCTGAGGAGCCAATGTATTGAAGACTCCAGTTCCTCCATAAGCAAAATTTATCCCATTGCTTAGTAATTTTGGGCCAAATTTTATCCATTTGTAAGCTATTGGAGATTTGATTCCAATAAACGAAGCTGTACATTGCAATCAAGCGAATGAACATCTTAGTCCTTACTACTTAGAGAACAAGGTAAAGGAAGAAATGAAAAGTTTTAGTAATTAATATATGGATAAAAACATGGAATGTGGGATGTAAATTTATTTGATACCTCATACCTGATTCAATCCACTTAAAGGTAGGGTAGTTGAAAATGAATTTGGATCAGGTGAACGGGATGGGCTCTAATACCAATGATAATATCCCACACCATCCATAAGTGTTTAGTGAGAACTTGAGCGATTGTGGGCCATATGCATATTATTACTGGCATGGGATGTTATTATTGGTTTTACAGCCTTTGTGCTGAACTAATCTGATCTTGAAAATGAGTTTTTTATTATGTTATTAACAAAGATCCTTATAAATTCCTTACCATGTATTGGAAACATCTTCCATACTTATACATTATTATTCATAGGAGATATTTTAAATATAGAGTGAGATGTGCATGTGAGATCCGTGTGAGGTGGCTTATGTGAGAAGCAGATCCCAATTCAAAAAAATACTCCCAATGTGTGATTACAAGTGCTGTGAGGAGCAAATCCGGATTCCCAACAGCCACAGATAATTAAGCTCAAAGACTATCCTTCGGGACCAAGCCTAATGCTTGGGTTGGGTTTTCAAATTATGTTCTTGTGATTAATGATATTGATCTCATCTATTGAGTTTGAATAGCTTAAATAACAAAAAGAGAAAGAAGTTAGCCTAATGCTACTGCATTTGGCCGTGAAAAAACAAAGCAGGTGAGGAAAATAAAGCCTAAAAAGTCTCTCTTTGGCTTGGCTATAAAGAGAGAAAAAAAAAAAAAGTAAAGATAAAATAGTGAGGTAAATTTTCTTTTTGACCACTTTGTTTTCTCAAGAAGATTGAGAAAAGTAGGTGGACGATGAGAGAAAGCAAAAGTGGTCCCCATCTTTCAATAAAAAAAAAAAACCTTTCTCTTTCTCATCCATGTTTATTTTGTTTTTTATCATTGCAACCGAATAGACCATCCATCGTATCCTATTTTAAAATCCTTTTAAAACCCTCCTTTCCTCTTAAATCTCAATGACCAATCTAAGACCAACCATAAGAAAATATGAATTCTAGGTTGGACCTGATGTCAAAAAACCCAAATATGTTAATCCAAAACTAACCAATTTTTTATTTAACTCCATGCTTGTTTGCTAGTTATCTTGTTGAAATGAAACCCAAAATGCCCAATGGTGTAGCCTTGAGCTAAAATTCACGGAATAACAGCCTTTTGGATGTATTTTTGGCCCTACAACGTCATTTCATCCGATTCAAGGTGGACCCACGTCAATACATTGAAGGCAGTGATTCACAGCTTTAGTCCAAGCTATGCCATGGGCCTACCATATATTTTTCCTATTTTGTATATGTTAGAAAGGAAAAGAAAAACCAAAGGAAGAAATATATTACAAATTAGGTATCATACACATCTAGATAGCGCTGATGAATTTAGATTTTAGAGAAATGGTTGATCTTGCTTTGTAATCTGAATGAATGAATTTTGCCTTCTATGGTTCAAAAAAAGAAAAGAATTTAGAGAAATGGTGATTCTATTATCAGAGCAAGAATAGAGATCTATTTGGAGCCTGACCAAATGTAAATCCAAGGAATAGGATTAGAGTTTCTCAAATTAAATGTAGAATTGGAGTTTCTCATGCCCTTGCATGAGAACATTTTCCATTTCTATGAAGCAGAAAGAAGTGGTGGAGAGAGAGAGAGAGAGAGAGAGAGCCCACCTACGTAATCAGTCAAGACCCGACCATCGGACCAGCGGCCGGTTGGTCTACCGGGAAATGTGATCCCATACGGCTCATGCCACGACTTAGCTACAGATTTGGGGTTATTCCCAGTATCGGCATATGAATCTCCAAAAACGAAAAGTTTGGAAAGACCAACTTGACGGTAGCGGCTGTGGTGGTTTTGATGATGAGACGAACTTTGAACCACTTGAGTTCCTGCAACATCACAGGCTATAAGACATTAGCTCTGTTTCACGGGCAAATACAAGCCAGCTCCGAAGAAGATTCAGCTCACCAGTCAGAAGAACCAAAAAGGAGAACAGATGAAGGCACAGAATGTACGCATTGTGATTCCCCATCTGAGTGGAGGCTGCTAGTAAAACGAGAGAGCGGAATAAAACTGCAGTTGGTTGGACTGGTGGAGGACTGGAGCCCGGAGGTGGAGAAGATGATCCTATTTTGTATTAAAGTGGTGGGCTTTTGATGGGCCTGGCCCCACCTGGGGGTGAATGTTGAACCCAGATTACGCAATGCTGGAGAAAATGCCAACATGATCATCAGCATTTATGATAATTCCCTTATACTTACACTATTGGGTCACATGTGAACTAGTAAGATGTTGGGTGGGCCATGGTTGGAACCCCGATTGACCCGGCAAAACCAAAGAGGGAATCCTCAATGAGTTTAGAAGCTAAACAAGCCCAATTCACATGATCCGGGACCAAGAGCATGGGCTCAGTGTTGTGATTTGGAAGGAGTACAAATATAAATTTGTACAGTACGTACAAATACATACAAAGTAAGGTTTTGCACTCTAAATAGTAGTTGTGTATTTGTACTCCTTCCGAACTGAGCCTTAACTACAGAACATTAGTTACTTAATTATAGAACAATTTTATGATATAGATTCATGTCTTGCCTACAGGACTTATCACTTATGGTAAAAATAAAAAGTAAAGCTCAATAGGACCGTAAAACTTACAAACTTAAGTGTTGAGCATCAAACTATTATACACTTCTGCTGTAAATCTTGTTTGAATACCAATCTAACAATTTGCATTAAAAGGGGTTCGACTATGATGTGGAAAAAGATATAATATAGGAAAAACAACTGACCAATAAACTGAAATTATAAACGTGATAGCAAATAAAGTTTTATTTATCAAAATTCATAGATGGGTTTTAATTGGTCAAAACTCTTTCCATATCATATATTTTCTACATTATAGACTTTCCCTATTAGTATATATTAGCTACAGTGTTATATGCATTTCTTCTAAGCACAGTTTAAAAAGAGCATAAATACAAATATGTACAATATATATATATATATATATATAAATTAATACAAAATGCAAGGTTTTATAGTCTACATATTTGTATTTATATTCCTTCCAAACTGAGCTTTAAGGGCATTGGGGTGTTGTTTGGTGATTTGCATTCCCACAGTAGTTGATTTGCATCTGAATCTGATTTATGAGAACAGCTCAATTGCAACCCAACTAAACTATAATGCATCAAAATCCAATTCAATAGAGACGGCAAACTGGGGTGTTGTTTGGAGATGTTGGTCTGTTTTCTCGAAAATCGGTGCAATATTGGCATTTTGAGCTAAACGCTCGAAAATTTGTTTGGTTCTGTTGGGCTTGTTTTACGCAAAAATGGCCAATAAAATAAACGACTACACTTCAAAATTCAAATCTTGTGAATGAGATAGATAAGGGTATCAACAATTTCGGACCGGGATTTCAATCATTTTCAAGCATTAGATTAATGTTATTATACCATTTTAACCGGAAGATAAGGGTATCAATAATTTTAGACCGTTTGATCTGCATTTCTAGCAATTTTAACCGTTAGATAATGGTTCCAAGGGATTTAGATTTTTAGATATTAATGGTGGTTTAATATTTACCGTTGGATGCTTATGTGGTTAAATACGGCCGCTAGATGAACACCTGGGTCATGTAATATACATTAATATGTTGTATTAAATTTGTACTACATCAGTATTTGTTGATTGGGCGGTTTCAATACGGAAAAGAACAAAAAGAAAAAATAAAATAAAATAAAAACGGGAAGCCAAACAACAAATCAGAGGAAACGTTGCCGATTTACCTTCCTGACAGCAACGCTTCCAAACAAAAAACCAAAGGAAACGTTGACGGCATGAAATCGGATTCAGTCCTCAGAAAACCTTGTGCACATTGTATTTATAGCTACTTGGTAGTTGTACATTGAGAATATGTCTTCATGAATAAAAACATAGATACAAATAGGAAGATATTCCTAATACACGGCTGCAAAAAACTGTGATTACTATATGAGAATGGTTTTGTGAGGACTGATAACAGTTATGAGGAAACACCAATTGAGTCTCCATTAGTTATTTTTGAACCGTTGTATCTCAAGAATTTTCTCAATCAAATTCTTTTTCCTGTCACTAATAACAATGTTGGAGTTCTTAAAATACTTGCAATTAGCTTTCAGAAATAACGTGGGTAGCATGCCTTAATTTTTGACTTCTCATATAGTCATATTTACACACTTCCTTAGATTTTTTCTTTGGAATTAACCCATATGTGGTTACACTCTCAGTGGTTTCAGATTGTTATATTTTTGGAATTTTGGAATAATTTTAGTTTTAAGGAAAAAAACTATTTAATAAAAAAGGCCAGTAGGCAATAATAAAACGATATTCAATTGAAGGAAAGTCAGCACTGAAGAATTTATACAGGAAAAGAGAAGTCAGAAAAAGGATACTTGACCTCATCATATGTACCCCAGTCAAGATTTATACAACATTTTCAAACACAGTAGCCTTGAAAAATCACAGCCTAAAAATGAGAGGATTGGATCTCTTTTGAAATTGTTCCATTTTTCAAATTTGGATAATTGCAATTCTTTAAAATGTCTTGTTCTTTGCTTCCATACTTCTGCCTTTTTTTTTTTTTTTTTTTATTTGTATCGAGTAGATGAGATATGCCAGATAGGAGTGACTGGAGGATAGGCTCTAGTTTATTGCTTAATTATATTGTAGAAATAAGGGACTCACCTGTGTCTCATGATGATCTTCAAATTTTCTATTTAATTTGAACCTGTGAACCCTCTGTTCCACCACTACACAGAAAGGTAATATTTAGCATTGTTTGAATATGCCTGAACTCATCCTGTCTCATCATTATTGGACTGAACTCCCTATATATCATTTCAGCCTACACAGGCCCCCAACCCAAATCGTTAATGACACTGCTTTCCACTTTAGTAATAAATTTTGCTAATAGAGCACTAAAGATTCAGAATTTGATATTCAGAACAATGTGAATTAATTTTGATCATGCATTTTGCCCAKTATTTGTTCAACCAACTATAACTTGTCCTAGGACAATGGTGAAGCCGTGAAGGAACATAACCCTGGTTGTTCACCAGTTGGGACTTCAAGAATCCACTTGCGGCCTCTAGCCGTCTTTGTGCCTGTAGTAGGGGTGTCAATGGACCGATTTTGGATTGGAATCTGTCCAAATCAAAATAAACCTAGACAGATTGGACARACCACAAGACATATTGAAATGGATCAGTCCAGATTTAATGGTCTAGAGTATTTGATGAATTGGATTGGGCCTGATCGATTCCTAATGAATTTATATTGAATTGGGTTAGATTGAGACAATATCTAGATCTATTGATAGAAGATAAGAATATAAGTGTCAATTGACCTGCAGGTTTGGGTTAAAAGTTAAAACCAATATAAATTAAAAAAAAAAAAAAATTTAAACAGATTGAATGGTCAAAACATTGAGTTGGACAGGTTCAAAATATTCATTGGATTGGATTGGACGTGATCCATTTGTAATGGACCCACATAGGATTGGACCAAATCCACATTGACACCCCTAGCTAGCTAGCTACCTGCAGGTTGCCCGAAGTCCCTAGCTCGTCCAACTCTAGTTAGTTTTATTTGGGATTGCAAGTAATCAACCAAAGAAGTCAAATCAGATCTTGGGTGGGAGGTATAATTTCTAAAGCCAAGGCAAAAACCTTGGTCTAGAAGGGGCTCCAACTTGTCACTGCAAGTTCAAGATAAGACAAGGTTTATTGAGTAGGGCCCGGTAATTTTTCAACTTGTGGAAAGCAGAAAAGCCTATCGATTTAAAAATTTCCGTAACAACTCATTCCATCACATTCTTTTGGATCATAGCTTGAAATTAAAACAAACATAATTATCTAAATTTCTTGCGTAATAGGTCTCTTCAATAATGACTCAAATGAGGCAATAAATAATTGATCGTTACTCTACAGAAAGAGCAAGACGAGATAGATGAAGTACGAATAACGTGGCCATTAGAGACTCCGGTTGCCCCATTCCCCAAGGACAAAGGTTTTGTCTTTGCTTCATGGACAAAAATTAATTGCTATTCGTGGATGGCAAATAGGACAATCTCTTATATTTTCTGTAAGCAAGAAGTTATCATGTGAAGCATCTTGGATTCCAGTCCTACTTAGGAATTGAAAATGACTATACCAAAAATAAGCATTATTGTAATCGAAGTGATATTTCAAGTTTTGGCAATTGGATTTATTGAACGTTTTGACGATTGTAGAACACCCACAATGAAATTAATGGCAAAATTTAATAATAAGCAATCAAGAAATTAAAATGGTGGTCAATTTGCTTTTCCCCCTAACGTAACCCAACTATTAAATGTGCAAGTTTTGATTACTTTTGGTCCACCCAAACTGCACTAATCCAACGACGGGACAAAACATATCGATACAGAAATGTATGCGTCACATGGGAACTATTTAAATTGAAACGATGGAAGGGGGAGGAATTAAGAATGAAAGCATGGAACACAGAAAACCATGACAATCCAATCTAGGACTTGGGTGGGAACAGATAGGATTCCAGAAGCAAACGGACAGCCTTCCAACCCTCTTGAGTAGGGTGAAACATGTCCCAGAAGAATGCCGTCTTTGGGTTCTTGCAGACTGTATACATCTTCACGCCATTCTCGTCTTTGCTTCCACATGAGAATGAGGAATTTACGCCCATGCAACATGGCTTCAACAGATCGTCAAACTTCATATTTCCTGTACAAGAAGTGATCGACCAATATAATTCATATTCATTTTTCACTGTAAATGCACTACAGAGGACTGAAGGAGTTTCTGTTCCCCTCGTATTTTCAATATCAAACCAAACATTGCATATATCGAAGTAATTAATTAAAGAGGTTGTTACCTGGTAGGGCCGTCTGATTCAATATGGTCTTGAATGAACGGTAGAGATCAAGAATTAAGAATGAAGAGTCCTTGCTCTCGTTGTTGAATTTGTCTACAACTTGTTGTAGCAACTGGTTGTGGAATATCACTCCTGCGTTATCTGTTTCATTGCATTGTTGGAAAGAAGTGAAGACAGTGCGTTGAGGAAGACATCCCAGTGGTTGGAGACCTGTGACGACTATTGTTTTCACACCCATGACGTTGATGCGTTTCAGATTCAAGGCCAGCTGGTTAACCACGGTCGCTATGAAGGCTGGAAGACCCTATAATTTGAGGGAGAGAAAAGGGTCACGAGGTTATGAGGGATTTTTCTTTATTTGTTCTTGTTGGTTGATGCAAAACATGAATTAAAGAATCACAGCTAGACATGTTCTCAGTGAGAGTAGTGATAGACATACAGAATCAATCCTGCTGCCTCGTCATATATAGTGCTCTATCAAGAGCAATATCTATCACTTCAGCCCACGTTTGCTAATTTGATTTGTTTACAGTGCAATTTCAATTGTATTGGTGTAAGAGTATCTTAGTGAAAACGAGTTGAAATGGAGCCTAGCTAAATTGTTTAAACCAGAAATTGCAGTACTCTTATGCATTTGTACTAGTGTAAATGAATTTGCAATGCAAACAAATGGAGCCTAGCTAAATCGTTATCAAGGCTACACAATTATAGGAGCCTAATATTAATATCTGACCCATTTGGTCTTAAGGCTTGAGCAATTAAGCTCCGTTTATTTAAGTCCACTGGTCAATCTATTTGTAGCTAAAATCTAGCAAGGGAAGATACAAGGAAGGATTCATGAAACAAAATAATGCCAACCATGTATTCATTGGACGAGTAGATCATTTTAGATAGGAATCTACTAAAAAAAAAAAAAAATCACCTCAGCGGTGCCATTTCTGGTAAGATAAGCAGCATAATCGTTGCCAACAAGTGAGACGAGAGCAACGGAAGAATAGAGGTCTTTCTTGGTGTAGAGCCCTTTTTGGATGAGTTGTTGAAAGGAGTTGATTTGCACAGTCATGTTTGGAACTGGAAACAATGTTTGGGAAACACCACTCCCTCCGTAAGCAAAATTGATCCCAAATGGTACTAGTTTTGGTCCATATTTCATCCATCGATATGGTACTGGAGACTTGATTCCAAGAAACGAAGCTGAAAAAAGATATTATTTAGAATATAATATGCATGCACAAAAAGAAGAATACAAACTATAGAAAATTTATAACAGGCTTTCAGTGATTTTGAATCACTGTTCCGTCTTAGAAACCACAATCGTTCATATTAGAAAACATACACTACCTAAATCTGGACGTGCATGAAATCTCTATTAATTGGGTTTTGATTTTGAGATTCTGATCATCATATCCCAAAGCAGCTCGATCATGGTTTAGGACTGAGGGACTTTGTATTTTATGCTTATAGTTAGTTAGCATTTAAAGTTCATATTTGAACTGAAAAATCTAGAAAGATTAGATAAAGGAAAGTCAGAAGAACTGAAAGAGAAGGTAAGTCAGGACCCAGCAGAAGTGAAACATAGAGAAGAAAAAAGGAATTAAGAAAAGAAAATTAATTAAAACTCACCTACGTAGTCGGTCAGGACTCGTCCATCAGACCAACGACCAGATGGTTTACCGGGAAAAGTGATCCCGTAGGGCTCATGCCACGATGCAAATGTTTTCGCATTATTTCCAGTGTCGGCATAAGAGTCTCCAAAAACGAAAAGCTTAGAAAACCCATGAATCTGGTTTTGAGTATGGAGATGGTGATGATGGTGATGATGATGATGATGATGAGATGTACTATCTACTACTTTAGTTCCTGTATGATAAGGAGATCAAAGAGAATAGATTAATTAGTAGATATTTAATTTTAGAAACGAAGAACAAAAGAAGAGAAGAATCTCATCAGCTCTGTCTATTTGTTGGGCAGGAACTGAGATCTCTCATCTGTACCTGCTGCAGCCAGAAGAAGGGATAAGGAGAGCAGATGAAAAAACAAGATGTGCTTCCCCATGGGAGCAACAGCGAGGACATCAACGTGGTCTTTGGAGTGGGACAAAGAATATGTAACTGTGCAGCCATAAGCCAGAGAACGAGACTTATTTATAGACTACTTGGGCTTTCATTTGTCAAATTAGGACCAATTTTTTATAGATAGTAAAAAAATTAATTAAAATGAAAAAGAAGAGAAAGAGAATAAACGATTTGCAGATGGGTCCAACTCAACGATGAGTGGCCATTCCCCCCAACAAAATGACTTTGTGACAGTTGCTATTTTATTGCATTTGGTTTCATGTAAAATGGTTGTGAAAAAGAAATATTTTTGGAAAAGCACTGAGGTTACAAATTGTAAAACAGTAAGCTAGATTGTTCAATTCTTTGACTTGCCTTTTTTTTTTTTTTTTGAAGTAAGCTAGATTGATTTGCGCCCATCTAAATGAGAATTGATTGAACTAACCGCTGCACATTGGGTCATGGGTGGGCTTGTTCAAATTTAAATTTTAATAAGTGGATCAAGTAAACTGGTTAATGAATATTTTTCTATTTATAATTAAATAGAAGAATGCTAGTAAACATGCAGCGATTTTAAGCAACTACTGGATTTCTTTGCCTTAAACTAGTCAATATAGGATTAATGAATTAATAGATATATCTTACTGATGATCTATATCTTTTAATTCGCAGATTGCGTCATTTGGGTGAGGTTTGTTTCGGATTAATTTATTAAACAAAAAGAAGGAAGAAAGTAAATCTAGGTTCATAGCTAGATAGACAAATTAAGGGATCGAGTGCAAATTCATTAAAACAACAACCATTCTTTTCTTCTTTTTTAAATTTCTGGTTCTCTTGTTGTGTGACTATGTGACTTTGTCAATGACAGTCGGTTCATACTTAGATGGACTGGGTCTCCTGCACTTACGCCTTATACTATGGCGTCCTACGCACACTAACCACGGTGATGCCTGGTCGGTGACTATACTGCTATTGTAAACAATAATCCATGGGCTGCCCCCTATTTCTTAGTGAAGTTTGGGATTTGAGATAATGGATACAGAGAGAGAGAGAGAGAACCATTCAGTAGCTAGCCTTGCTTCCTCTTCTTGTTTTTTTGGTAAGGTCAATTAAGGGGGGCTTTTGCTTTTTAAAATTAGACTTATTTTCATTTTAGAAAAAAAATTAAGTCATGCATATTTGCAAATTAAAAACCACCAAAAGAGACTTAATGTTGGTCCCAGTGGCTGCTCTCAAGTCTCAAACTCGAACCCATTTTCATGGTTGTGAGCCTGAGATTTTATCATTATTGCACAAAGAAATGTCTTGGCCTGGTTTGATTTGAAAATATTTAATATAATTTGTTCGGGATTTTTTGAGGAAAATCGGCTTTATTATGCTAATTATTGTCATGAAATGATATGTACACAATTATTTTAGAAAGTAGTTACCTTGTTTCTTCATTATTCAAAAATGATTCTATAGATTTTACTTTGTTAAGTAATCTTGGTGAGTTGTTTATATATATATATATATAAGGTCATGTTTTTAAGAACTTTCCTTTCAATTTTCTGCAGTTTGGCTTTTAGTTTTGGATCTTCATGGGGCTACACCATAAGTTGATCATGAAATCCTGAAAACAAAAAGATTGTAAGCTTACAATTAGGAAAAATATGCATATAATTAAGAAACCTAGTTTTCTTTTAATCTCAAATGAAGATAACTGAACCTATCTGGGTTTTGGATTTGGGAATTGAACAAATTCACCAACCCGTCCCCATACCCGCAACCCCCAACCCCCAACCCATGTGAAGGCAGGAATCGTTCCCAAGCGTTCACCACAACCAGCCAAATGCATGTAGCTACTAGCTAAGCAAATTCCACTCAACGAACTCAGTTATATTTATCTCTGAATATATAATATATATGGTGAATAAAGTGAGGGGTTGAAGACCAGGTTACAGTTGTGGAACAAGAGAGTGCAAATTGAGCAAGAGAATGGACAATATCACTGATGTATAGAGTGCAAATTGACTTCCTCTCCAGATCATGCATGTGCAAAACTTATCAACAAGATTTTGCTTCAATTAAATGTCACACTTGTTTCTGTCCAGTTTGCACCTAGCTTCATTAATTATTCTTATAAATTAGATTAATTGTTAATTATATATGTATTAGTCAACAAACCCTACCCGAGTTCCGGCCGGCCGGCCGCCTTGGAACATATATATTTAAGCAGAATTCAGAAGCTACATTAAAATTCAAGTCTCCACATCATTTTATTTTTTCTTTTTGTTTAATTAGTTAAAGAAAGAGTTAAGGCCTCTTACTATTAATATCATCATGCTTGCTTGTTAAATAAAAAATTCCCTGATGATTACAATCACCCCTTGCTGCTATATTTCTATCTTGATTCACGTGCAAGGCTAACGAGACCGACTGGGGGTCGCTCTAGATTAACCACCTTTTTCAGAAAGTAATATTTACTTTTGAAAATCTCAATGTTTTAATATACTGTTTGGCTTTATGGTATTGCTTTACTTTTTTACTTTTGAGAGTTATTGCATTCCCATTTTGGCTCAACCTATTAACATGTTTATATAACTGTGATAATATTTAATTAGAATTGTGTACGTCCTCTCTCTTATGCAATAAGTTGCTTCTTCTTTTCTTTAATGTAATGTTTGAATTCTCAAAATAATAATTACATTTTCTTAAAATACTTAAACTATGCACGTTTGGATAAGTTTATAATTTTGAGCTTTAGACTATGGGCTGCGTTTGGTTGAGATTTAAACGCAAATATATGCTTTGTATAATTATCTTTTTTTTTTGGTTCAAGAATATAAAATAAGGTTTACATTTTTAAATCATTTTTGTATTCATCTTATTTGTTTGAAATTGGAGTAAAACATGGACCCCATCATTAATGCTCTAATTACTTATGCACCAATTCCTTAATGTTGTGTTTGGAAATGATACAAATAAGTATGAATGCAAATATATAGAGGGTAAAGCGGTCCATATAAATTGTAAAATTGAGTTAATTTTGCATTGGCAAATTTACCTTTTTACCAAACATACTTTTAGTTGTAATGGATACAAACACGAATTTCAATAAAGCATATGCCTTTTTTGTCAAAAGCCCATTCGAATGCAAATTTACTTTTCTTTTATTGATATACTTTTACATCTTATTATCAATGTAAATATGTATTAGAAAATGCATTTTCTGTCATTTGCCAATACATATATGCAATGTTGCCAAACACAGGCAAAAGTAAACCAGAGTGCAAATTTACCTTTAACCGTGATTTACACTCTATTTGCATCGTTTCCAAATGCAACCTAAACTTTGGTCAAAAAGCAAAATTATGAAGAACAAAAAATTGTATCAAAAAAATAAGTACAGTCATGCTCTCTCCTCAGAGTACAAATGAAAAAATATTTTTGATCTCTTAATCATTACTTTTTTAGGTGTCAAACAAATGCCCACAAATGTGAACTGAGATTCAGTTCAGCGTTTGAATCACAAATAAATAGAGCCATGGGAAACAAAAATGATCCAAACGGTGTCTTGTGTTTGGTAAGAGTTGCTTTCTTTCCAATACATAATAATCTAAACTCAAAATACTTTTTAAGGCGCAAAGTTTGGACTTGGAAATCTTAGGTCCTGGCTTGCGGTTTTGCTAGATGATGTTTATTCAATAGGCCCAACCTCATCCCGTCACATGGCTGAGTTCCCCTATTAAAACTCCTTTTAATATCATTTCTGCCATGTAATATTGATCTTCAAAGATCAATTATTTTGTACTAGAGTTATTATTCAATGTAATGTCATTCTCAAAAAGTTAGAATCAACTAAAAATCAGAAAATCAACAAAAAGATGATATCTGAAAAGGGCTGATTTTAAAAATTAATTTTTGAATGATTTCATGAGAATCACCAAAATTGGCCAACCAAACAGAAATTTCAATGTCAATTCCTCTAATACTACTCTGATATGGCAGTGATTTTTAAGAAATCATTATCAATGCCAAACATCGCCTTCCTAATACTGATTTACATTTTAGTAATAACTTTTTTTGAGTGAGCATTATAGATTCAAAATTGCTACATTTGGATGCATATAACAATGTAAATCAATTTGATCAAGCTAAACACTCTGTCCGTTATTTGCTCAACCAATTAAAGTTTGTCCCTAGGTCAATGGTGAAAGAATATAATATAATCCTGGTTGTTCACCATTTGGGACTTCAAGTTGACAAGCCATGTTTAATTATCTACAACCCAGAACCCCAAAAATGAAAATCTAGGGTCGGGTTTAATTAAATGAACTACTGGAATGTGGACCTAAATTTTTGTCAAATAGTCCAAGTATTTTAATCATTACATATCTCCATCAAAAAAGTTAAATGTTTTTTTTAAGCCAATAAGCTAAATATTTTTTACTGGTTTATTTGTGAAGGATATAACATAATATAACACATACCTTCACTTGGATTGGTTTTATTTGGGCTTCCAACCAATCAACTCAAGTCAAATCAGATATCGGGTCGAGTTATATATGTTTTCTACTTTGGCAAGTAGAAAAACCCTGTTGATTTCAAAATTTCGATTCCAACAAGGCAATAGTTGATGGTTATTCTACATATATATTTTTTTGCTGCTGATATAAATTTAAGGGAGAATGACTGTTCAACCTACTCTCAGAATTTTTAGTCCCATCCTACAGTTAGAATAGGTGCTAACTCGGAATTAATATTAATATACAGATGGGTATTGGTGTTTAAGATAGGAGTACTTGACATTTTAAATTATTGTAAGTCTCTCATAAATTTAATTGATTAAAATATGTCTAATTTCATAACGGATATCATCCAACCCAATCTTCATGTCGATTTATTCCAAAACACCATGTCGCAACATTACGAGCCAAAACATCTAATTTCTAGAAAAAAAAGGAATCTCTTATTATTTAAAAGGGTAAAATACAAAAAACCTCCCTTGAATTTTTAAAAAAATTGACAAAAACCTCCCTTCCGTCAATGACTCAAACAGAAAACACCATGTCGATGCATAATTTTGTTCCAAATACCTATTTTACCGAAATATCCTTGTCGACCTGTTATTCTCTTTTCCTCTCCAACAACCTCTTTCTTCCTCTTTCTTATCTTGGAATTCCACCGTCTGAAGAGGAGGAAGGCGGCAGCTCTTTCAATCTTTCGATCCAAATTCAAACGAAACGCAACTCTTTCAGTGTCCTGCTTACCAATAAAAGACTCTCTGGCTATTGAGAAGGGACGCCGGTGAACCGCACAAGGACTTCAGTCACCGACGGGCTGTGGAAGAAGCTGAAGAATCTGATGATGGACTTTCCGAAGCTGAGGCAGCAAATGATGACAGAGTATAAAGAGATGGTGAGTTGCCAATATTTCACAGTAACAAGAGAGTAACCGGAGGAAGAGGTGATAAAGAAGATTATATCGAGTGGGGGAGGAACGGGAGGGGAGGAGTTGCTGCAAAGGGCGGTGCAGGAGCACAGCAAATGAAGAATGAATTGCATACGTGATGCACTGATGCTTGTTAAATAAAAAGAAAAAAAAAATAGAAAAAGGGAATGGAAAAAGCATTCAGCAATTGCCTTGTTATGGTATTAGGGTTGCAACTTTCAAGTTGGGTGGGTTAGGGTCGAAAATTTGTTCACGCCCAAATCCCAATGTATTAGAGAAAAAAATCTATTCAGGAACCTATCAAACAGCTTATAGGTTGAATCATTCCTTATTGATGTGGTAGCAGAGTCTGTTTGACCAAATGCTCCATCAAATTAAGCAAAATATTATTATTCCTATATATTTTATATTTTATTTGATATAGATCACAAAAGACTTGAGCTTGTTTCAGTGATGAAGCATGTTAATTAATTTCTAAGATGAAGGTATAGTAAGGATGTATTGGTGTTCAATTTTCTTTCCCTTAACCCAACTATTAAATTAATGTGCAAGTTAGGATTACTTTTGATCTACCCAAACTGCACTAATCAAATTACATATGCAACGGGACAAATAATACGAGATTTAAACAATAGTCCAATTTATTTATAATATTGGATACTGCAGAAATGCATGCGACAAATGGGGATCGGACAAAATTGAAACGATGTAATAAAGGTGAAGAATTAAGAATGAAAGCAATGAACACAGAAAACAATGGCAATCCAATCTTGGTAGCAGGAAGAAGTCTAGGGCTTGGGTGGGAACAGATAGGAGTCCAGAAGCAAACGGACAGCCTTCCAACCCTCTTGAGTAGGGTGAAACATGTCCCAGAAGAATGCCGTCTTTGGGTTCTTGCAGACTGTATACATCCTCACGCCATTCTCATCTTTGCTTCCACACGAGTATGAGGAATTTACGCCCATGCAACATGGCTTCAAAGGATCATCAAACTTCATATTTCCTGTACAAGAAGTGACCAATTCATTCAGTTTTCAGTTTTCACTTTTCATCACCAACTGTTCTGGTAAATGCACCACAGAGGACGGAAGGAGTTTCTGTTTCTCTCATATTTTCTATGAAACCAAACATTTGCATCAAAGTAATTAAAGAGGTTACCAGCTGGTAGGGCCGTCTGATTCAATATGGTCTTGAATGAACGGTAGAGATCAAGAGTTAAGAATGTGGAGTCCTTGCTCTGGTTGTTGAGTTTGTCTACAGCTTGTTGCAGCAACTGGTTGTGGAATATAACTCCTGCGTTATCTGTTTCACTGCATTGTTGGAAAGAAGAGGAGAGTGTGCGTAGAGGAAGACAATCCAGTGGTGGGAGAGCCGTGACTATTATTGTTTTCACACCCATGACGTTGATGCGTTTCAGATTCAAGGCCAGCTGGTTCACCACCGAAGATATGAAAGCCGGAAGACCCTATAATTTGTGCACGGCAAAGGAAGGATCACGACAAGGTTGGGGATTATATTCTTAATTATAAATATAGTATTAGAATAATAATTTTTTAAAATGTCTAAAATTCATCATGTCAGTAAGTTTTTATTTTTCAAAATTCACCTTCCATTGGTGCACTGTTAATGCTTCTTAACAGAGGTGTCTGTGTCAGCATAAATAACAATTTTCATGACCAAATTACCCTTGAATGGTAAAWTAGAGGAAAAATGGTCTTTTTCAGTTTTTAATTTTCTTGTTTTTTTTTTGCATTTTTAATGTTTTTATAATTTCTGTTTTTTACATTTTTCTATTTTCTACAATCTATAAATTTTTGGTGTTTTTTCTACAAATTTATTTTCTTATTTTGCTTTTCAATTTCTATAGTTTTTATAATTTGAAAATAATTTTTTATTTTGTTTGCAATTTCTATAATTTTTATGTATTTTTTATTTGAAAATATTTTTTTGAACTTTTTCCTTTTTTCATGTCTAAATATTAAAATGATAATATATTAACATCCGTTAAAATATGTTAATATATTTTATATTTTTCTATGAAAATTAAAATGGTAATATATTAACGCACGTCAGTCTGTTTAACGTCAAGTTAGAGTGACATTGTGAGTTTTAGATATTTTAATTTGAAAAATTGCGATGAATTTAAGAGAAATTCTGAAAACTCATGGTGAATTTTAGACAATTTCCCTAATTTTAAAGTTTTATGAAGAATCACCTCAGCGGTGCCATTTCTGGAAGCATAAGCATTATAATCGTTGCCAGCAAGTGAGACCAGAGCTACAGATGAATAGAGATCTTTCTTGGTGTAGAGCCCTTGTTGGATGAGTTGTTGAAAGGAGTTGATTTGCACAGTCATGTTAACTGGGGTCGATGTCTCAAAAACACCACTCCCTCCGTAAGCAAAGTTTATCCCAAATTTTACTAGTTTTGGTCCATATTTCATCCATTGCCTAGGTATTGGAGACTTGATTCCAATAAATGAAGCTGAAAAACAAAAGAACTACTTTTTTTAGAATATAGCATCCATGCACAAAAAGAGAAAAGAAAACTGTATGTAGAAATTTAAACAGGTTTTCAGTGATGATTTTGAACTGTTGTGTCACAGAAACCAGAATCGTTCAATTCATATTAATTGGAATCTCTCATGGATGAGGACTTGTGGCATTCTTATTTTGTTCTGATTAAAATTTTCTTGTATCATATCTATGCTTTATAGTTAGCAAGAAAAGTTCATGTATGAACTAAAAACACTAGAAAAATTGGAGAAAAGCATGCAGAATGCGCAACCTGAAAGAAAAGGTCAAGCCATAGCCAGAAGTTCACCAGAAGCAGTGAAAGTTACAGAGAAAAGAATTGAATTAGGAAAAGGAAAATTAATTAAAACTCACCTACGTAATCAGTCAGGACCCGTCCATCAGACCAACGGCCGGATGGTTTACCGGGAAAGGTGATCCCGTAGGGCTCATGCCACGAATCAGATGTGGATTTCGCGCTATTTCCAGTATCAGCATAAGAGTCTCCAAAAGCGAAAAGCTTAGAAAACCCATGAACCTGGTTCTGACCATGGAGGTGATGATGAGATTTACTTTCTACTACTTGAACTCCTGTAAGATGCGGAAATTAATTAAACAGCATTGATTAAGTAGAGATTAGTTTTAGAAATAAAGAACAAGTGAAGAGAAGAATCCTGCCCGCTCTGTCTGTGTTTTAAGGGCAGGAACAGCAAAAAGAAGAATAGCTTGACTAAAAGATCTCTTGTCTGTACCAGCCAGAAGAAGGTGTAAGAAAAGAAGATGAAACAACAAGATGTGCTTCTTTTGCTTCCCCATGACAGCAGCAGCACGGACAACGTTGTCTCACTCTTTAGGAATTAGCTAGGAGAATGAAACAAGCAATGCAACCATGCAAGCGAAGACAGAGAAGGAGACTTATTTATAGAAGAGATTACACAAGGGTCCGACTCATCAACAATGAGAACGTAACCCATTCTCCCAGCCCAACAAAAGAGACGTTTTCTATTTAGGATTTGTTTGGTTGAACATAAATGAGGCGAAAAATGACTTTGTCAAAGTTGCTTTGGATTAACCACCATTTCTTATTCCCACTTTATTACTTTTTGAAAGCTATAGCATTGCCATTTTGACTCGTAGGCATCATATATATACAATTCAACATTGACATTCAAAATGGGAATTAAAATATGTTTGATTTGAAACGGAAGCATAGCAGTTTTAATTTCATTCTATCCTGGAGGCGTTCCTACTTGATTCCTTTTTTCCTTTTCTTCATGGAGCTTTTGATATTGGCGTGTTCAAAACTCACGGGAGGGTTCTCGGGCTTGTCCTGAATCGGTGGTTTTAGGAAATTTCTTCTTTTGAATAATATTCAAAAGGCTCAGTTTAGAAGGACTATAAATACAAATATTTAGAGTCTAAAGTCTTAATATTAATTTCTATTATTTTCTATATATTCGTATTTGTAATCTTTCTAAATTGAAGCTTTTTGCACTCTGCATATTTGTATTTGTATTTGATGTAGTCGCATTTGGCTACTCCAATACGGGGTTGACGCATGTAGACGACGGGTAGTAGTATGGGCACGCCATAAGGACGCGCGGACCCCTTGGGCACAGACCCAACAGGTCCAGTCACAAGGCACCGCGTGTCCCCCACTAGAACATCTTGCGAGCTCTTATACGGTTTGCATCTAGGCCATCTGAGCCCAACTATCCCCTGGCAGCTCTGACTATAAATACAAGGCACCTCCCTAAAGGTAAAGGATCCAGAACTTTTGAGACCTTTCACATTCTCTCCTCTGAGGACTTGGTGCTATCGTCCGGACCCCTCGGCTCTAGACCTATTGTTTACCTCTTGTGGACACTAACTTGAACGTCAGATTCCTTGCCTCTGGTCACCACCTAAGGCCTCTAACACTTTTTCCCTTGCAAGTTCATCACTGCTGGGACGACACCTCGTCGTCCCTCATTCATCCTTCTCCRCATTAGCCCTCGGTTCCAACAGTACCTCAAGGAGTGATACGCCTCGCCCTCCAATCCTTGGCTTCGGCTTAACTCCCTGGGACCCTCAAAACCTTCGACCTTCCCTCAAAGCTTGAGAGTGAAATTACCTTGTTGTCCTCGGCCAAACCAAGCGTCAACAATTGGTGTCATTTGTGGGAAATGTTGCTAAGACGATACCTTGAAACACTACAAACTCAAGATCTCCTAAAGCTTCAAATACCATGGTACGAAGAGTCGGGAACCCCTAGAACCTGGTTACGAATGAACAGTTCCGAGCTGTCCTTTACCGCCTAGAATACCTCACGCAACGCGTAGAATAGGCCTACCCCCAGGAAGGAGGTCCCTCCCGAAGCGACCGCCCCGCCAGGGTATCAAATCACTTGGGCCGATGTGTGCACATCGAGCCCCCAACACTCGGCCTGGTCGACCCCCAATGGACCGAGCCCGCCGAGTCTGGCAACAGCCGACCCGCTAGCCCACCCCGTAGGAACAACAGACCTCCCAACCGAAGGGAGGAAGAACCCTGAGCAACATCACCGCCGGTAGAGGGAAAAGCCCCAGGACAAGGGCGAACACCTTGGCCGTCGTAGCACCCACTCAAGGGCCAAGGGCCGACGCCACGGCTCTCCTGCACTAGTCTCAGACCTCCGCGACATCCTAAACGACCGCAGTGCCATATGGGAAGCACGCGGTCCCACCTCGGAGCATTCCGGAGTTCGTGCAGACCCTCACCATGCCCGCGAAGACAGAGACGGGTAGCGAGCTCCACTCGACCCTCGGATTGCGGAATTGCAAGTCAAGCTCGGGGCCGTCAAGGATGAGCTTCGCCAAGTTTGAGAGAGTTGAGCTGACGCCTCGGCATACCAAAGCAATTCGACGGGGTGGATGGATGCCTTCACCCCAGATATCATCATCGAGCCTCTCCCCCGGCACTTCAAGGCTTTTATGGTTGAGACGTAAGATGGGAGCTCCGACCCCGATGACCACCTCGAAGGTTTCACAGTTCTCATGATACTTTATGTGTATTCTAACGCCTTGACGTACCAAACCTTCCTGGCTACCTTTAGGGGGGTAGCTCGCCGTTGGTTCTTTAGCCCCCTGCCTCGGTCAATCGGCTCATGGGAGTAGTTTACCGGCCTACTCCTTATTCGCTTCATTAGCAGCAAATGATGCCAAAAAAGTGTAGTCTCACTCATGTCGATTAAACAGAAATCGGGTGGGAGTTTGCGGTCTTACATTCACCGCTTCAAGAAGGAAGAGCTCAATGTCCGAGACCTTGACCCCATGGTCTCTATGCATGCCACCATGAACGGGCTCCTTCCCAGTTTGGCCCTCAAGTGCTTGATCGCCAAGACCTCGTTGAAGATGAAGATAGAGTTCCTCAAGAAGGCCTAGAAGTACATTACGGTTGAAGCGAGGACAATTAAGAGAGGGCAGTCGAGTGCCACAATGGGCCTCCAAAGAAGAAGCAAAAGGGCGGGGACTTCCTCCATCCCAAAAACCACAGCGGTAAGGATAACAAGAAGCTAGCGCCCTCAGCCCTGGCATACAATGAATACACACTACTTAACTCCAACTGTACCCAAATATTGATGCAAAGCGAGGAGGAGATGTGAAGTGGCCTGAGAAGATGAAGAGGAATCCCAAGAGGGGAAGTCCTAAAAACTACTGCAAGTACCACCGCGGCACCGGACACGATACAAAGGATAGCTACGATCTAAAGAATGTGATAGAATCCCTCATCCGCCGGTAGTTTGTAAAGGGAGTAGCCAGTGCCTCGTCCTCCCAACACCAGCAGCACCAGCAGAAAGCCAGCGTCATTGATGTCATCACCAGCAAAAAGCCAGCGTCATTGACGGCATCCACGGGCCTGCCCCCAAGAAATCAAAGCAGTAGGAAACCCTCTCCTTTACAGATGAGGATGTAAAGGGGGTCACAATCCCCATGATGACACTGTAGTGACCTCGGCCATCATTGCAAAATTCGTAGTCAAGAGGATCCCTGTCAACACTGAATCCTCAGCTAACATCCTCTTCTACGAAGCCTTCTAGAAGATGAAGATCGCGCCTGAGTGCCTCTAGCCAGTTGACATTCCGTTGGTCGGCTTCTCCGGTAATGTGGTCCGACCCGAAGGAAAAATTACTATACCTGTCACTGTAAGGACTGAGCCTCGGTAGGTCACGAGGATGAATGAGTTCCTGGTCATGATGATCGGTTCGCCCTACAATGCAATCATGTGGAGACCGACCCTTCACGCGCTTAGGGCTGCCACTTCCTCGTATCACCTCGCCCTCAAGTTTTCCACCGAGCACGGGGTCGGAGTTGTTCGTGGGGACCAGCAAGTAGAGAGTTTCGACATCAACAAAGGTTGTTGAACATCTTAAAAAATTAGGACCTTGTAGCTAATAACTCATCAAGTCAATTGTGGATATTTGTTGTTTGGATTCAACAAAGGTTCTAGTATCAAATATGTTTGACTCAATTTTCTTGATCTTGTTGTTGGAGATCTTTAATGTCTATGGTGTTGAAGAAAGATAGAATTGACATGGCAATGTTGGTCATGCTTTTTCATGGGTCATACCTTATCTTTGGGGTGAAACTTGCTTACCAACATTTATCTTATTAGAATACATATCTTTTGGTGTTTCCACATGAACAAGTCTTTGACTATGTAAGCTATTCACTTGCAGGTTTAATTTCCCCTGCTATATCCATGAAGCCTAAACAAGCAGAGGTTGTGTCCTTGAACGGATTCTGGAAGTTTTTACTTTTAGTCTTTCTTTCAATATTTTGTATTTTTATATTTTTAAGCTCCATGCTAATTAATATGCTGTTTTTTTTTGTTGTTGATTATGTTGAAGAGTCCTTAAGCGAAACTTGATGGTGATTTTTTTCTTGCATTAAAATATAGAATGGAATCTGTGATTCATAATCTGTGGTCAAGGGTATGTTAATGATATCTACTGTTTGAACTCAATCTGACAGGATTGATGAGAACATGGATGACACATTGGCAAATGTGGAAGGGGCACAAGGAGCGCTGCTCAAGTACCTCAACAGTATCTCATCCAACCGGTGGCTGATGATTAAGATAATCTTGGTATTGATTGTTGTACATAACATCATTTATAGCCACTAGCTCAATTTACAGCGTCAAGTGATCAAGTCTCATCCAACATTTCAAAAATTATATTTGCAGTTTTGCTCTGCCTTGTTGTACATAACATCATAAGCTGTGTGTATATTAGTATATACAATGAGAATTCTACCATTTCGAATCCGATTAGCTATTCAGTATGAATAGGATATTTGAATTCGATCGATTAGATATTCAAATTATTTGAATTCAACTTGATTATATTATACTGAATCTCGAATTCAAAATCAGATTTCGATACGGTGGGATATAGTTGTGAGGTCAATGTGGGGCGCCCTCTATGAGGAGCATATCGTACTTCAGTTCAACTGAACTTATAAATCATCCAAAATGATGTTTTCCATTTTTCTGTCTTTCAGTGTTTGGTTCAATCGGATGGATTGAAGTTAACGGCAAACACCCGCTATTTTGAGGTTAGTCCAAAGGAGTTGATGTGCAAGCCTCCTATTGAAGGGTCCATTCTTCTTGTGAATCGACAAGTTCACTAGATTCGAGCTCTCCCCATATAGTTAGTGGGATTGCAACTTACAAGGAAAACCCRAAAAAGCATATGATAGTGATCCTTTTTGCCTTCCACGTATAAAATTTCAAGCTTCAATTATTGTTCTAAGGTGATGTGACACATCCACAATCATAAATCTTATGTAAGTTCACATTTGCACCCCACAGAGCGTGCCCCAAAATTGTCCCACATGAACATCTTAGCATGC